CACCAAGAATATTCCTATTAGGTGCTGATCGCCTTTATTACAAGAATCTTGTCAGGCTGGCTGTATTCTCTTGGGAACTAGTTGATAAATGTAATAAATAATAATAATAATAAAATAATATATAAATGTAATAAATAATAATAATAATAAAATAATAAATAATAATAATAAAACTTCACTAATGCAGTCTATGTTTCCTCCCATGGAGAAACTCTCCACACCTCTTTACTTCTCCCTCTCTTCCAGCCCGGGGGTCCACAACCCCCAGGCCGTGGCCCTCTGCTGGACCACGGCCGATTTGGAACCAGGCTGCATGAGTGGTGGGTGAGCATGCATGTACATGCAGCCCCTCGCATAAATAAAGTTGTGTGCATGCGCACCTCTACCCCTCACGCCAAACCATGTGTCAAGTTCGAAGCAGGGTTTTGCTGGTGTGACAAATATTGCTTCTCAGCTTGCCAATGAACTTGGGGGGAGGGGAAGGAGAGAGGTTTGGAATGCAGACTTCAAAGATTAAGAAGCCAGACCGTGAGACTCAAGGACATTACACCAGGTGTCTGACCAGACTTAGAGATGCTTTCTCATAACAATATTTTTCCACTTGATTGGGCAACGTGACCTGATCACGAGGGAGGAAGGAGAATTCAATGATTTTACTATATGGGTTTAGGAGGGTCTTGTCAGAGCTGGCTAGGCAGGGCCAAGTCTCTGCACTTCTTCTGATCTTGCACTACTTTTTTGAGGCTTTCCTATGATCTGGCTGGTGTCAGCTTTGATGGTGTCCAGCCACCATTTACTTTGACAGCCTGGTTTACCATTAACTCTTTCAAACATAATTTCTTTCTCCAGTGAATTCCTCCACATGACATGGCCAAAGTGAGAGACAGTTCTGTGATTTTGCCTTCTAATGAACATGTTTGATGTTATGTGCTCCAGTATTTGCTTGTTACCCACCTTTACTGTCCAAGGAAATTCCACCACAATTCCCATGGAATAGGTTTTGGAGGGGCTGTCTTGCAATCCCCAGATTGGGAGGAGTGGTTGAAGCGGGAGGCTCTATCAGATTAGAGACCTCCCATCTTACTGTCAATCCTCTCATTCCTGGTAACTGATCCCCAGCTTGAGAGAGAAAGCAGATGGAGATAACCATTTCCTTAAAAGCTCCCATATTAAAAAAAAAATCACATTCACACGGTGACCATCTTGACTTTTTTGATCATACTGTACAAACAACCCAGGATCAACTGATCCATAATTGGAGGTCTGGAAGACTTGGCTGCCAAGAATTTGTGCAAACCCTGTAGCCACACAAAAAGAAATTTCTTCACAAACCAGGATTTTATTGGCATAACATATGGAGAGGAGACCACCAGATTCATTGGGGTTGCACGTTAAGCAGTCTAGCAAGATCCTGCCTCTTTGGAGGTGACTTGCCTATACAACCATTTGTCTGAAACGTATAAGACAGTGGTGGCAAACCTATGGCACGCGTGCCAGAGTGGCACTCAGAGCCCTCTCTGTGGGCACGTGCACCGTTGCCCCACCAGAGTTTGCCAGAGTAGCAAGCACGTGGTGTTTGAACGCTCGACAGGGCAGGAAGTGAGCGAGCAAGCGGCATTGCCCCCCCCATGCCCCAGAGATGGCAAGGGACTGGGCCCCGCTGCCCTGACCCCGGCCACGCTGTCTGCAGTGACCACTGCAGCCACGCCCACCCAATAGGCCACCCCCCCACCCCACCCCTGAGGACACCACAATGCTGATGCACTTTGCAATAAATAAGTGGGTTTTGGGTTGTAGTTTGGGCACTTGGTCTCTAAAAGGTTCGCCATCACTGGTATAGGGCTTCTTGCTTGAGCAGGAGGTCGGGCTAGAAGACCTCCAAGGTCCCTTCCAAGTCTGTTATTCGGTTATTCCTGCCTCTAAGCATCAGCCAACCCGCGCAGTTCCCAGCAAACCCCGGCCAGGATCCGGAGTGGCGATCCTCGCCCGCCTCCTCTCTGCCCGCTCCGCTCCCAAGTCAAGGAAAGCCGAGGGGCGCGGGGCGGGCGGGCGGGCGGAGGAGGGGCCGGGGGCGGGGCGGCGGCGGTCTTAGGCAGGGCCCCCGGATCGAGGCGGGGCTGCAGAAGAAGCAAGGCACCGGCGGAGCTGAGGGGCCGGGTCGCCAGAGCGAGAGGCTGAGCTAGTCGCTGGGAGCTCGCTCTGCTGCTCCTGCGGGGAAGAAGCCCGGCGCTGCTCGGACGGGGCGGCTACTGGTTGCCGCGCTCGGCATCCTTTCCGCTCCATCTCTTCCTCCGGCCGCCCCGAGGGAACAAAGGGCGCCCGGACCCAGCGCGCCATGCCCGGCGGCCGCGTCTGCTGGATTCTTCTGCTCCTGCCCTTGTGCAGCTTCGGCGAGATCGGCGCCCCGAACCCGCCCAGGCAGTGAGTAGCTACGCGCAGCCCTCGGGATGCCATTCCCTGAACAAAGCGCACCGAGCAACGGCTCCGCTCGGCAGCGCCTTCCGCCTCGCTTCCTTCTCCGCATGTCTTTCCTTGCAACCGCGAGCCTCCCGCGCGAGGAAGAGTATTGCTGAGTAGGACTCTGCTTGCTGGGGGTGGTCGTGAGCATACGCAGAGAGCTCCTTGGCCGCCTTCCTTTCTGGAAATCTCCAGGCTGCAAAGGACAGGGCATCCCAAGAGGAAGGTTATGTTTGTGCAATGCGCGCGCGTTCACACGCGCGCACACACACACGCGTTTTTAGCGAGCAGGTTTTACGCAAATATTTGAACCGCCTTTCCCCCCACCCCAAATCCTGTGCGAGATGAGTTGTGGTCCATAGAAAGTTGCACGCTGTTTGCTTTTTATTCAAAACCGCGTTTTTCCTGTCCTTAACAATACAGTTTATCAGTTTAACAAATGTAAACTATGTTCCCAGGGTTAGAATTGGGATGGGTTTGATGTTTCTTCCTCCTACTGTTTGGAACCAAACAATCCGATTGGGAGGGGGGTCTAATTCAGTGACTGGATTTAGAAACGTTAATCTGGCCTAATTCTGCCCTTGCCATCTGATGGGTAGCATCGAAAAGCAAGCCAGGGGAGCCGGAGAGGGGAGGGTTTATCATCACATCACTCTTCTGGAGTGAACTGTATAAAATTTGAAAAGTGCTTCTTGTAGCCTGTCACCAATTGTGTTGGATTCTCCAGGCTGCCTTGTTTCAAAGCGGTCTGGCTGCTTTGCTAACAGAAGCCTGGATATATAGCTAAACTGAGAGTCGGTTCAGATGAACTTTCATTGGCTAGCTAGAAGGAGAGACACTTCTGGGAGAAGAAGATGCAGAACGTGTAACTTGTGAAATGCAATATTTCTTTGGTGGCTAGCAAGTACTTTTGTTTTCCCGAGGTAAATTATGCAAAAATCATTGCCTGTGATAAATTATGCAGAAGTCATTGCATGCTATTTCCCCCCCCTCCACTTCCCTATACCTAAGTTTGTCACACCAGGCTACTTGGTTGTAACTCCTCCAGGTTAAATATTAACCAGCCTTTGACACTTCCTTTGTGAAGAACACATGACAATTTTCAAACTTGCTTTTAAGCCGAGTATGTAAGCTTTAGATTCTGATACCTTCTTTGTACATTTTCTTGTTCAGGGCAACAGAACTTTTCTTCACAAGCTGGGGCACTGGTGACTATTGCCTAATTCTCAAGTCAGTTCCCAAAGCAAGGTTAATAAACTTTGCTTTGTTTTATGATGTAGTAAAGGCACATCAAGCTGGTACGATGCATAGTTGGGTTCTCAAGATACCTTGGCAATTCCTTCTCAGTGACTAAACGCTTCAGCATGTACAGATTCCAAAGGCAATACATTTCCTTTTAAGATCTGTCAAAATAGTTAGCAAGTCAGATGCTGTCCTAGCATTTGTGACTACATTTCTGTGCAATGTGCATTCTTGATGTGACTCTTTCTAAGCCCTACCAAAAAATGTCAAAAATGCTCGGCTTATGGAAAGATTAACAGTGATGACAGTTTTTAAGTGCAGTGACTTTTAGGAGCAGAACAATGGCATTTGCAAAACAATGACAGCATATTGGGAGAAGAATTTTAAACTACATGTGTTCTGCATATGGGATCATCACCCACAGTGGATGTGGCCATTCACAGATGTTTGCCTAATAGAAGCAGATGTATTTTTTATTTTGCTCTCCATCCCACCCCCTCCTGATATAGAAAACATGGGCCAAAGATTTACAATTAGAAAATAAAATAAAATATATGTATTTTTAGCCTGGTAATTTGAGGAAAACATGCTATATCCTACCCTCCATGGTTCTTAGCATGCCCAACACAATCTGCATGATGCACACCCAGGAGATCTGAACTTTTGCAGAGTTGTAATGGGATCTCCATGGCAATGCATCCTGCTGAGGAAGAAACACAAGACTTGGAATTTGAAAAAAGACAGGGTTGGGAGCTATAAAATAGCATGACCCTCAACCCCTGGGGTGCCTATTAATCTCCAGTTAGAGAGACCCAAGGGCTGGGCCAAAATGAAACAACTAGCTAAAATATGTTTTAAAGCCTGTGATGTGAAGAGCTGTCTTCCACGAAGAGCCTTTGGAGAGCTGGATGCCGTAGAGTGGGTGAGGGAAGTTGAGGGATATCATGGTGTCACAAGGGGGGCATAAATAATTCTGCAAGAACCTGAGAATATTGTTCAGACTTTTGTGAAGCTCTAAAGAGCACTATGAGTAGTTAATACATATTACCTTAGCCATGTAACAGAAGATAGAGAATGCTTCTGGCCTTATGCCAGAAGAATGAAACAATAGACAAATGCTTGATAAGTATGACCATGCCCAGGAGATCCAACAGGACAATTTAAATAGCAACAGGCGACCTTTAAGATTTCTCCCGTAAATACAAAATTATTTTTTACTCAGAGGGAAAAAAAATAAGATCAAGGGGGATGCAATACTTCTTGAGCATCCATTCAGGTTTCCTTCATCCTTTAATGCAATCATGTACTTCTTCTCAAATTCCAGCCTCCTTCATGAAATATGTTTCAGAGTCCCTGTCTATCACCTAATGGTCTTTAGAAGGTTCTTTTACACATCTTTTGTACATCCTGGGCTCTGTGTGTATTTATGTGTATGTTTGAGAGAGAGAGGCAGGGAGAGAAATTAAGAAAAGCAGTCATGTTGGTTTTGGGGATCATTGATCAGTTTTTAATAATTTCTTGCCTTTTCTCGCTGTAGCAAATGAAAATTTTTAACACTGCTTCCCATCTGTGTTACTGTATAAATCCTTGGGAAAATGGATGGTTATTGCAACCTCCGCTTCATTTTTGCCAATTTTTCTTTTTCCAGATTACGGGTGTGGGATAATCCTGAAGTCTGTACAGTAGCTTCCAAGATAACCACAACTTTTCCTTGCTGTGAAATCTCTCCTTCCCCCCCCCCCCAATCCCTCTCTTCTTCTGCATATCCCTACAGACGGGAGGAGCTGTTTTATGAAATACACGTTGTGAATGATGCTCTTTTCATAGTGATAACTTTTGATTATTTTTTTTTCCTTTTCCCAGGGGCTACTTGATTGCAGTGCCTTCCGTTTTCCGATCAGGTGTGGGAGAATCTATTAGTGTGACTATTTTTAATCCAGTCAGGGAGACAACGGTCCAGATCCAACTCGTAGTCAAAGGAGAGATGGTGGCTCATGCCCATGGAGCAATTCTAGGTAGGCTGCTATTTGTGTAGATAGTCCTCAACTTACAACAATTCTTTTAGTGACTGTTCAAAGTTACAATGACACTGAAAAATGTGATTTATGACCGTTTTTCACAATTATGATCATGTGATCAAAAGTCAGCTGCTCGGCAACTGGTTCATATTTATGACCGTTGCTGTGTCCCAAGGTCACGTGATCACCTTTTGCGACCTTCTGACAAGCAAAGTTAATAGGGAAACCAGATTCACTTAACAACCGGGTTATAAACTTTTCAACTGCAGTGATTCACTTAACAATTGTGACAAGAAAGGTCATAAAATGGGGCAAAACACAACATATGTCTCACTTAAAAACAGAAATTTTGGGCTCAATTGTGATCGTAAGTCAAGGACTATCTGTATACAGTACATAACTGAACGTTAGTAGAGGAAAGCTGTTTGGATTCATCAAGGAAAAATCGTTGAATTTGCTAAGAACATAGAACCACAGTTTTGTGGAATACTTTATTGCAGTGTTTCTCAACCTTGGCCCCTTGAAGATGGGTGGACTTCAACTCCCAGAATTCTCCAGCCGTGAAGTGTTAATACCGCTTTACAATGCCTTGGTAAGGCCACACTTGGAATACTGCATCCAATTTTGGTCACCACGATGTAAAAAAGATGTTGAGACTCTAGAAAGAGTACAGAGAAGAGCAACAAAGATGATTAGAGGTCTGGAGACTAAAACATATAAAGAACGGCTGCTGGAATTGGGTATGTCTAGTTTAATGAAGAGAAGGATGAGGGGGGACATGATAGCAGTGTTCCAATATCTCAGGGGCTGCCACAAAGAAGAGAGAGTCAAGCTATTCTCCAAAGCACCGGAAGGCAGGACAAGAAGCAACGGATGGAAACTAATCAAGGAGAGAAGCAACCTAGAACTAAGGAGAAACTTCCTGACAGTTAGAACAATTAACCAGTAGAACCACCTACCTCCAGAAGCGATGAATGCTCCAACACTGAAAGTTTTTAAGAAGATATTGGACAGCCATTTGTCTGAAATGGTATAGGGTTTCCTGCCTGAGTAGGGGATTGGATTAGATGACCTCCAAGGTCCCTTCCAACTTCATTATTATTGTTATTGTTATTATTATTAGATAGCTAGATACCCAATTTGTTGTGCTCATAACCCCAATTCATCCTTGTCTGAATACTTCTGCTTTTTACTGCAAGTCCATCACCATAATAACAACAGCACATAGTTACAAAACACTAATAATATCAGCTCAGCATTTCATTTAGCCATATAAATATGTATCATCTAGGTTTAAATGTGAATTTTCCTGATTGTAAAGGACTAGGGTTTTAGATGTTTTTAGAGCCACTTGTACTATTTTGCCAGTTCTATATTTCTTCTAATGTTCTTAATACAAATTTAGAAGTAGGTAGCAATATTCAGACAGTCAAATATTAACAATGTCATTTTCATAAAGAAGTGTGACTTTACCATATAATTATGATTGTCAAGGGTATAGTTCTGCAACAAAAGCCTAAACTGAGCATTGTGGGAAGTGGGTAAATTATTTTGCAAAAAAAAGGAAGCAAAAAAAATAATCTTGTGCTTATTTTTTTCAGAAATAAGTCCTACTGTTCTTAATGGGACTTACTTTTAGAAAAACTGGCATGGGATTATAGCCTAAAATGTTAAACGCTATTCCCAGATACTGTACAATATGTCTCCCTCAATTACTTTTTTTAAAGAATTTGCTATAATTTATTTTCTGTAAGGATGCTTGTGGTCCTGAAATCAGTCTTCCAGTTCTGGGAAAAAAGATGCCATTAAAATTTAAAAAAATTTGCGACTTATACAGTAATTCAAAAAGTGGAGATTACAAACAAATCTACTACATTTTTGCAGGCCAACATTCCTGCAATTAAAACCGGAAAGCCACGGAGCATCTTTCTTTGGCTGCTTGTATGTCAATTATTTAAAAATACCCTTGAAATGTACCATTCCAGTGAATCATGTACTTTATAAGTAATTCTATTATCTAAGTGTCATATGCCAGCAGAAGTTTTCACAACCGCATGAGAACTGAAGAAGCTTTTAATTGTAGCTCATTCTTCCAAAAGGCTTTGTTGATAGCAGCTGTTTTCTGTTCTCATCTTTGCCGCAAACAGCTGCTTTTGACTCTTGTTTTGTCCCACAAAAGATGCTTGCATGTCCATTTCGCTTCCAACGATTTCAAATGTAGCATTTATGGGCAAGTTTGAAGCTGCAGCACAGGCCACTTGGGTTTGACATTCATGCTATTGGGAGCTTAGCTCAGGAATATCACCATGATCCCTCTCTCCAGGATGGGGTACTTGGTACATGTGGCTGAGCCCTCACCCTGTCCTTCTGGGATTCACAGTTGAGAGGTGATGCTCATGCCAAGGGTAACCATGGATCTTGGGTTTTTTTGCCAAGGCTTGTTGACTTTCTGGCATCTTGTAGCTGAACTGGCAATTATAGCCAGAACAAACACATTTATATTTTTCTGAATATCCATGCTAGGTTTGCTGTCTGTTTGTACTAATATAGGAAAATAGTCAAAATGTTTAGCTTTATGGGATTTCAGTGGGAGAAAAATAATGATTCTTAACCCCTTTTCCTTTATCTTGCAGGTAAAGGAACAATCAAGCTTAAGGTGAGTCCTTATGATTTATTTACTATCAAGTACTTACAACTTAATAGAAGCCTTTTTGCTTTTAGGCTACAGCAGACAAAATTGTATGCCAGGATTGTACCCATAAAGAAATCTTCCCTTGTCATTTGTACCATCAGTTTCACAGGACACCTTTTGGAATGTGGCTGGATTGTTCCAACATTTCTCCATTGTACCCTTCCAGGCTTTTGTGCTTCATCTTAGTACTCTTCTAATACTGCTTGCACAAGTGAAATGTGTGCCAGTTCCATTAACTTTTGCTGCTCAAGGAATGGAGTTTACTCTGAACTTGGTCTGGAACCTGGCAACAGCAACTGCAGCATTTCTTCAGTGGCTGCGACTAAGACCACACATTCCTTGGCAGCATCTCTGAATGCTAGTTCTTTCAAAGCAGCACATACCAACTCCTTCAGCCATTGCCAAGAGGTCAGATGGTGGACCTATCGTTGACCATCTCTGCTCTGGTCCAGTCTCACCCTAGCCTCTGCAGTGAAATACTGCTGCTGTTTGAAGTTGTAGCAGAGTTTGCGGTTGCTGGAACACCTTGAAAATGACTGTTGATCTGCTTCTGATATGTGGACTAAGTTGCTCTGTTTTCCTTAAACAGACAGTCCACTTCTGGGTCCTTCAGAAGCCAAATTTGAACTGAATACCACGTTCTGAATATGTTAGCATTAGGCCATGTTTATATACTGCATTTGCTTTGATTGTTGGAATTAGAATCTCACTAGAATCTTGCAGAGTAGGTTAGGTTGGATATCTAATTTGGTAGGGTATCTGAACTTTTATAATTGTTGACAGATCTTAACTTCCTCTCAGATTACACCCTTAGAATTGTGCTGAAATCTATACAAATATCTAGGCTAGCATTTGTAAAGAAACAGCATCTACAATATAATGGATGTGTATTCATTTTTTTCTTGCTTGCTTTCTGCTTTATAATGAACACTTTTTACAAGAACAAATTTCTATCCACCCAAATAAAGTATACATTCATTCCAAGAATGCTGTCCATTTACTCATGCATGATATTGGTGTGAAAAGCTCATTACTCTTTTTTATAATTCAGTTAATTCAACCGTTTCTGCACCTTCTCTGAGCCATTGGTCTTCAGGTATTTTGGAGTATACCTTCCATGTCTCTTATTCCTAGGCATGTAGGAATTATGGAAGAGTGACAGGTTGGAGAAAGCTTCTCTGAAGCTTTACAAGCCAAGCGTTTTATTTATGACATCTTTTGAGAACCAGTAACAAACTAGGAATGAGCTACCAATAGCTCTATGGGTATAGGTAACCTTTAGGTTAATTTAAAACACCCTATCCAAGCAATCATGTTAGACATATGGCAAGAACTACCGTTCCCTTTTGCTGAGAAAGAAGATATTAGAAAAAAGAGGATGTGTGCTTCTGTCCACTTTGAATTCTAGTCTCTGCTTGCTTTAGGTTCTCCGCCCAGCCTTGAACCACTAACAGATCTTTCTTGAGGAAATGAAGTTCTGTATTCCTGATTTAAAATGATGCCATAGAGTTGTATCCGTAGATAGAAAGCCCAGAAGGTCCCCAAATTCAGCATTTCTCTGTCTGTGGTCTTTTTCCTTCTCTCTATGTAGTGATTAGCACCTTCTTTCTCTCTTTCCTTTAAGGAGAGGAGTCTTCTTTAAAACCCTCTTTGAAAAATGAAGGGAAAAGCAAGAAAATAAAATATGTTGCCTATAATAAGAAAATAGGAAGAGCATGGAAAGAATATGGTGGAGTGAAAGTTTGGAAAAGCAATAGTGGTGGAGAAATCAAGAAGCAAGAGGTCTGGATTGACTGTGAAAACGATTTGCCAGATCTTCTTCAAGTTTGTATTCCTATTGATCTGAACTAATGTTTCTCTAAACCTTAGCAAATTTAAGATGGGTGGACTTCAACTCCCAAAATTTCCCAGCTAATCTTGCTGTCTGGGGACTTCTGGGAGTTGAAGTCCATTTAAAGTTGCCAAGGTTGAAAAACACTGATCTAAGTTGTTAAAAAGGACAGGGAAATATTCAGTGTTGACATTTTTAGATTCGATGCTAGAATTAGTTCTGCCCAAAACTTGTAACTAAGAGTCATAAATCCAAGTTCCGTCCTGGATTTGTCTCCTAGGTTCCCTCAGGACTTCGGGGCCAGGCTCAGGTAAAAGTGTGGGGCAACCATCATTTGGCCGAGGAGGGCTACATCTTCCACAACTATACTACTGTGACTATTGATAGCAAAGGCGCTTCCGTCTTCATTCAGACAGATAAGCCAGTGTACAGACCGAAGCAGAAAGGTAAGAGCATTTTATGGGAGCGTTGATTGAGTCAGCAGGAGCCTGAAGTTTTATTCTGGAGCCATTTTGATTCTCCCTGATTATGGTTTTCTTTTCTTTTTTTAGTGCTGATCAACTTATTTACCGTGAATCCAGATTTGCGGCCAATCAACGAGAAGGTAAAGATTTCCCTAAGCTTGAGACTTAAGAATCCATATTTCATGCAAATAGGCTAGATCAATTCATCTGGCTGGAGAATTCTGGGAGTTGAAGTCTGCACATCTTATGAGGTTGAGAAGCACTGGACTAAATTCATTTCATTTGAGAAGAATCTTGGCTAACAGCCAGTGGAGAAAATTAGTCTTTACTTAAGACTTGAGAGATTGCTCTTGGAGTAGAGAAGAATACAGGTAGACCTCACTTAATGATTACCCTGTTTAGTGACCATTCAAAGTTACAATGGCACTGAAAAAGTAACTTTGTGAGCCATCCTTGCATTTATGACTATAGCAGCATCCACACCATCATGCAATCAACATTTGGGTGCTTTGCATCCATGGGTATTTGCAGTGGTTGCAGTGGTTGCAAATGTGATCACCATTTGCATGCTTCACAACTGGCTTTCAACAAGCAGAGTCAGCAGTAAAATCTCAGATTGAGGGCATGCAATTTGCTTAACAACCGGCAGTGATTTGCTTAACAACTGCAGTTGAAGTGATGATGTAAGTACATCAGAGTCAGGTGATATCTCGCTCAAAGACAGAGTCACTTAGCAGTGGAGTTGCTGGCTCCAGTTGTTGTTAAAGAGGACTATCTGTATGCCAGATAAAATAAAGCAATTTGTTTAGGAAAGCTTTCCCATAACAAATACATTTTTTTCTAATTTTGGAAAATGAAAGGAAAGCAATCCAAGGAGTTGAGGTGGACCTCTACAAAGGGGAGAGAGATTTTTTTGTGTGTGTGGGCACCCCATTTATGGAATTATCTCATCAGAAAAGTTTGACTGGTGCCCACATTAACTTCATTTAATTTGATTTAATTTAATTTCATTTCAGTAAATTAAACAAACAAACAAATACATTTTCATGCCAGGTGAAGACATCTTTATTTTCCCAGCTTTTTTATCCTGGTTTTAATTGTATTTTAATGCATATTACTTTAGATTTTGAGTTACCGATTTGCAGCTGCCTACTTCGTGTGTGTTTTTTTATTTTGCTGTATATGCTTTTATTTAAATTATATTTTTGGAAATGTTTTAGTAGGAACTGCCCAAAAAGCTTTGGCTGTTGAATAGTTTAAAAAAACAACTAATTAAATAAGCTTGTGTTTAGTGCCACAATGCCTAGTGGAATAAAGTTATTTAATTCTTTCTTTGTTTTCTTTCAGATTGAAGCTTATGTGCTGGTAAGTATCTGTTAGGACCCAAAGGCCATTACAGTATTTTCTTCGGGGGTGTCTATATAGAGGCATTGATAAAATCAAGACGGAAGGAGCCCCCCCCCTTTAGAGCATTGTATACGCAATGCCCATAAAAAAGGATGAGGTTTTAATGGCAAGATGCCATGTTGACTTTTTTGACCCATAGTGGATGCCTGGATTTCTCCTCCCCCCCCATGCAATATTCAAATTTCTATAAAGATTTTGTTTGAGGAATTAAGTTTTCCCTCTAAAATGTTAAGGAATATAACAGCCCTATTACCTTCACTGTCATTTCCAAGGAATTGCTTGGCATAGGCTAGTGATGGTGAAACCTTTGGGCTCGTTGTGTCAGATAGTTGGAAAATGCCTGACTTTATTCTGCTAGTGTGTCCCCCCCGAACAAAAGAGTAACAATTTTCTATCTCCCCCCTCCACCCACCCCCCACCCCATTTAGACCATCCTAACAGTGGCACTTGGCAGCATTGAGACTTGGCCTGAAGTAAATAGAGGCCTGGTTGTTGACTTCAGCCCTAGCCCCATCACTGCCACTCAAAAAGGCCACCTCACATCATCCCCCAAAGTGTGCCATTTATCTTCAGATGATGTTCTTCTGTTGACTGGCTCCTGTGGCCTACAAGAGGCTGCTCCAGATCACATGAGGCCTTTGTTTTTGAAGTGGCTTCGGAGAAGGCTCTTCCATGGCCTCTGTGGCCTCTGAAAATTGAGTGAAAGCATGCCCCATTCTCAAGTGATTTTTCAGAAGGTCCAGAGGCGGCACACCCTATTCTTACGCAGCCTCTGAAAATCACATGAGAATGGGCATGCTTTCAAGAACAGTTTAATGTTGTGAGCCGCCCAGAATCACTTTGTGGCAAGATTAGTGGCAAACAAATTTAATAAATAAATAAAATAGTTGTTGTTGGATGCCTTCAGAAGTTGTGAGTGCTCCATCACTGGAGGTTTTTAAGAAGAGACCGGACAGCCATTTGTCTGGAATGATATAGGGCCGGGGTGTTAAACTGCTGGCCCGCAGGCCGGACGCATCACGATGAAACCATGCTCACCCCATTGCCGGCAATGGGGAAAAAGCTCTAATACGTGACGTGACATCGCGAGTTTGACATGTCTGATATAGGGTCTCCTGCTTGAGCAGGGGATTGGACTAGAAGACCTCCGAGATCCCTTGCAACTCTGTTATAATGTTATTCTGCTGGTGAATGCTGCCATGTAACCCAAAACATTGCGGCGTGTCACTTTTGACACATGTGTCATTGATTTGCCCTTTGCCCTCACTGGAATAGGCCATAACTCATTCAGCGAAAGAAAGAAACTTGCGCACATATGATAAATGTATATGTAATAAAATATTAGAGGAACTATAAACCTGGTTTACGTGTTAACTCTGTGCACCAAAGTTTTCTTAATTATGGTTCATTGAAAAAGCGACTTGTCTATGCTCATATATGCTATGCCATAACTTATAAATGATACTGGCTAGGTCCATTTAACTCACTAAGCTAAAATTGTGATATATATATATACACACACACACACACAAATACACACACACACACACACACACACACACACATATATATATATTCTGAGGTTTTCGCGGGTGTTTGTATGTAGGTCTTTGGTTATTCGGGTTTTCTCCTGGGTAAAATTAGAAGTGTCTTGGCGACGTTTCAACGAAGTCACGTCCGTCATCTTCAGGCTGGTGTCTTCAGCTTCGTGCTTCTAGGAGTTTTGCATTTTCAAATGTAATAAGAAAAATACGTAGATATTGTTAGCTAAGACCAATATAAAAAATATGTCTCTTTTCCTAGGATCCTCGAGGGTCTCGGATGGTAGAATGGAAAAACCTCAAGCCAATTTGTTGTGGTGAGTTTTAGACTGTCACAACTGAGCATCCCACTGCCCAGAGCTTCAAAGAGAAAGGGTGAGATGCAAATTGATTAAAGAAATAAGGACGAATCATTTGGCTCTTCTATTTTCTGGTTGAGATCCGAAAGGAAATTGGGCCACCAATTTAGCTTATCTTCTCTGATCTTCCTTTTCTCTGGCAGGAATCCTCAACATGAGTTTCCCTTTGTCGGATCAACCAGTGTTCGGAGAATGGTTTATATTTGTAGAAATGCAAGAATACACATACAACAAATCGTTTGAAGTTCAAAAATATGGTAAGTGAATAGTAGAGTTGCTAGAACTTGTTTTGAAAACACACTATTTTTGAGATGTCATAATCATGTTTGAATGAGTCCAGAGATTAGGAGTGTCACTGGAGTAGGGTCAAAACAATCAAGATGGCAACTGGGGCCATACAATTGAAGCCCCCTTTATAGATGCCCCTATATAAATAGTTTCTAAAAAAAAAGTTAATGTGTTGGTGGTGCTCAAGGTAAAATTATTGCACTTAAATCGTGATTGTCAGTAATATTTATATTTCTATTCATTCATAGTTAAACTTAGTATGATGGACAAATGAGGAATAATTAAAGCTATCAAAACATTTAAAAAGTGAAATGGTTCCTCCAAATCTTTGTCAAAAAGCCAAATGACTACTCTAAATCTGGACAGCCTAGATGTTAATGGACAAATCACATCTCTGTTTTGCTAGGTTTAATGTCACCATCCTGATCTGTGATTAATTATTAATGTCCTCTAGACTTTAATAAACTTTCATGTTAGAAAGATTTGTTTTGGAAATCAAAAGTCTTTGGGAAAGTGCTAAAAATAACCTCAGGAAGTTTTACTAGATTTTTAAATCCATTTATTTTTGGGGGGATAAATAATGAATAATATCTAGTTATTAAATTCCCTTCTATTATTGTTTTATCATTTCCAAATGGAGAATATAATAATTCAGTTTCCTCTGTATTTTTTCCATATCATTTCCTTATTTCATTCAAAAATCCATTTCTGAAACTAATTTAGTTTCTCAGCATGCAGGCTTTAGGAGAACCATTTAAAACTTGCTTTTAAGAAAGGCCTAACGGAGGATTTATATGATTTAGAACCTTAATGTATGCTTGAGTTTTCTGTCTCAGTGGCCTTATTTTTTATAGTAACTTTTGTTGTTATTTTGTACTGTATAAGATTTTAGAATTTCAATCCTTTTATTTTAAAGTAACGTGCACGTCTTTTGAAGTAGCTCTGCTGAATTGAAATATCAAATAAACGGGGAGGGAGGGAGGGAGGGAGGGAGGAAGGAAGGAAGGAAGGAAGGAAGGAAGGAAGGAAATCCCATGAAGTGTCCTAGCCCTGCCTGAGGAACATGAACAGTGTAAACTTAATAGCAGCATAGTATTTATTTCAGCAAGCTGAAAATACAGGTAGTCATCGACTTACGACCACAATTGAGCCCAAAATGTCTGTTGTTAGGTGGGATATGTTGAGTTTTGCCCCATTTTACGACCTTTCTTGCCACAGTTGTTAAGTGAATCACTGCAGTTGATAAGTTAATAACCAGATTTTAAGTGAATCTGGCTTCCCCGTTGACTTTGCTTGTCAGAAGGGATCACATGACCTTGGGACAAAGCTGTGGTCATAAATATGCACCAGTTACCAAGCATCTGAATTTTGATCTCATGATCATGGGAATGCTGCAAAGGTCATAACTGTGAAAAATGGTCATTCGTCACATTTTTCAGTGCTGTTGTAACTTTGAATGGTCACTAAATGAACTGTTGTAAGTCGAGGACTAACTGTACTATCTGGAACACTTCATCTCCTTACTAAAGTTAAAATCAGAAGGGGAATGGAAACATCTTTCAAGGTAATACATTTTATTAAAATGCAGAAGCTTCCATGAATTACACCTTGCTTTCTCTGTTGCACAGAGTGGCTACTAGATTCCTCCTGATTGTTGGCTAATGTAGATTAATGTGACTCTCCTCCCACACTGTTTATTACTAAATGAAGGCTCATTTTTCATGAGTGACCAGATGTTTAGTCCAAGACCTTTTCAGATTATGTTTGGTGGATTCCACAAGAACTTGATGTGGGGGAGGAGAGTGGTTGGGGAAAAAAAAGTTCACTTAAACACAGCCAATTTTCTAGCCTTAGAGCTTTGCCTCTTGATCTGGTGTTCTGGGAACCTTTAATTAAATTTTTAATTGAATGTTTAAATTTAATTCAGTCTTGAAATCTGAAAAAGTTTGAAGATCCCTGGTCTACCAGTGTTTTCAAACTTGGCAACTTTAAGGTGTGTACTTCAACTCCTAGAATTTTCCAGCCAGCATGGGAGTTGAAATCCATACACCTTAAAGTTGCCAAAATCCAAAAAAGGAAGAATACCTGCATTAGGCTAAGCATCATTTGCAGCTTCTTGAGAAAAAAACCCCCACCCAAATAGTTGTATTTAATATAACTTTAAAAAGTAAACCAGGACACCATTTGAAATTATTCCATGGGAATTTGGCAGTAATAAGCCTCCTAACCATATGACGTTTTTAGTCTTTCTTCCCCCACCAAAATAAGAAATCAAATAGTTACGCCAACTGAAAAAAAAGAGGCCTGATCCATTTTGGAGGGGGAGAGGAAGGCATTGTAATTAGTTGCTGCGAAAAATAAGTGACCCAGCCAGAAGTTATAAACAGTTGAAAACAGTTAACCTTTAGCTGAATTATTGTAATGTTACAGCTCAATTATTTCTTTTAGTTGTGAAACATTATTTTAAAAGCAAAACAGTTCAAAAAGGAATAGAAGAGCTGGATTTTGTGTATAGTGGACAACGTGTGATTCCTTTAGTGAACCATTACATTTTGTAGAATTTTTTTTTCAATGAATCTTTTTAGATTTTTTTTTCAGCTATCAAACTGGATTACCCAAATAGTTGATTGCTAGGGATATATTATGTTTGCTGTAGAGACATTGGCCAGTTTTTTCCTTTTAGGGTGAGATTTCCAGCAGTTCCATGTCTGTTATAGATCTCTTTATATTATAGATCTCTCCACCCTTTTTTCAGTCCATGTTTCCCATTTCTCAGCTCAACTGCTTTCTTACCTCTAGGTTAAGATTTCCTGATAGCCTCACTCATGCTGTTTCTAATCACAATCAGATTCCCAAATTGTTCTCACTCCCTTTTTCTCTTCCTTTTAGTTTTACCCAGGTTTGAGCTGCGCATTGATCCACCACGCTACATTCGGGACCTTGGAGTTTGTGAAAAGGGAACTGTCCACGCCAGGTAAGAGCAATCGTCCCTGGTTCCTTCCGCTCACTTGAGTGGCTTCTTGCAGTTTCTCTTGTCATCCCTGTGATTCTTCTGAACTGTTTAGTTTGAAAAAGATTTGTGGAATGGGCTATCATTGATAATAATTGTGTCTCTGAACTTGGGATAGAGAACTTTCAAGGGCCATCTTCCCTCAGAGGTAATCTGTTGGGGTCATGTGGGTTGTGCTGAAGCAAACAGCAGATGTAGGTAATGACAGAAATAAGTAAGAGCAGCCCTTTTCTGACACATTCTTGTTTCACTTTTGGACACAAGCAGTAGACTGTGGAAACAGGAAAATAACATAACCCTTGGGATTTTTTTCTTGGTGTCCTTCTCAATATTGGATGGGCTGCCTTTAATCTTTGATTTCTGTAGTTTTCTAACAGTACTGCTTAGCTTGTTGCTGTCAAAACTCAACTGCTAGGCAAATTGGGTACATGACTCCCACTTGTGGCTCCCTTTAATTTCTGCAAGGAGGGTTTGTGAGCTTTGCTCTGAATCCAAAGGTTTTCAGCTTTTTCTGGCCATCTGTAATGAAAAAGATATCTTGGCAACAGATCTGGAGACCTTCTGGAGGAACATAGCAAGTTAGAAGAGTCTGTTAAACTCAGTGACTCAAACTGTCTGACAGGGTGTTAGAAAGCTTTGCATGCATGTAATTAAGCTTGGCAATGAAAGAGCAACAGCTAAAAATAATAATTGTTGCGCTTCTGTTCCAGGTACACATTTGGGAAGCCAGTGACAGGGAAGCTGACTGTCAACATGACAGTAAATGGAGTGGGGTACTACAGACATGAATCAGGGCATCCTGTCCTTAAAACCACTGAAGTGAGTAAGGGGGATTAAGTGATGGGGGGTACATTTTGGTGACTGCAGAATAAGATTTAACAGCTTTAAAGAGGATTAGAACTCCGGTGGATCACATGGTCATATAACATGGGTGAAGCCAAGCCACATCCATGGATTAGACTTGGATTCAATGTTTCCCCCCCTTTTCTTTTTTGAATAGGTTTTTAGGTAAATTTAAACTGTGTTGAGCCTACTTTAGAATATAAACCAGGGGTGTGTTAAACTGCCGGCCCACTGCGGGCCAGACGCGTCACGTGGAAGCCGCGCCCACCCCATTGCCGGCAATGGCAAAACTGTCCCGATACATTGCGCGATGTCATGTGATGTCGCGAGTTTGACATGTCTGATATAAACAGTCTTTTTTTTTTCTTAAAGGGATAGGAAATGACACTAAGGGTTTTTGGCATTTGCAGTGTAAATTTTAGAGAGGGTTCCAAAGAAGTGCAAAAAAGGGCTACAAAGTCACATGTGGTTCTAGGACAAGGGTCCTCAACCTTGGCCACTTTAAGACTTGTGGACTTCAGCAAAGCTGGCTGAGGAATTCTGGGAGTTGAAGTCCACAAGTCTTAAAGTGGCCAAGGTTGAGGACCCCTGTTCTAGGACCAGGGATCATGCTCTTTCTTCTAAAGGGAGTCTCCATTCCAATCTGATACAGTCCCCAATATCCTAGTCCGTGCCATGCCAAGAATAGATGGTCTAAAGTTTGTCTAGTGTAGGGATAGACAGATGTAATTTTTGGAATCTTTAAATTCCAACATTTGGAGCTTCGTAATTCTAAAGTCTGATATAAAGTCTATAGTCAGAAAATATGTTAAGAGCACAGAGCAGTGCATATTCAGTTTAGAAATGTGTTTCTAATAGCTAAACTGCTGGTCTGTGCAATACTTCTGGTTCTCTTCACTGCCAGGAATTCTGGGATGTCCATGAGGAGGGGTCAAAAATTCAAGATGGCAAATGGGGTGGGGTTTCAATTGTGGGGTCACAGGTGCTTCTTGACTTTCTGGATACTCCCCACCCTCCACAGATGCCCCTCCTAGCATCTATTATCAATTGGTAGTTTATCCATCAACATGCTTATTTAAAGGGAAATAAATTATTGTTTTTTGCTGGCATTAACATAAAGTTGGGTTTTAGTATAAGCTATCCAAAGATAAGGACTTGAACAAGTGAGCCAAATGTCAGATCCTAAGTAGATTTGTTCTTGTCTCCTGGCAGCATTTTCACCATCCTCCAAAGAAAATAGGAGGACTAAAGATCTTGGTTTTCCTGATTTGGGTTGTTGGCATCTGGGACAAATGATGTCCCTTCTATTCATAGTAGTTATCTGTCCCCTGTCATTACCACGAGCATATATAGCCTCTTTAATTGTTACCTTTTTTCATGATATTTCTGGCAGATTGATGGTTCTGTAGATTTTGACATATGTGTAAAAGACATGATGCCTGCAGACATCCCTGAGCATTTCAGAGGCACTGTGAACATTTGGGCCACAGTAACTAGCACCGACGGGAGCAGGCAGGTCACCTTCGATGACTCAACCCCTGTCCAGAAGCAGCTTGTTGACATAAAATATTCCAGAGATACTCGGAAGCAGTTCAAATCTGGTTTGCCATTTAAAGGGAAGGTGAGTAGGAAATTGCAATGGGAAGATTGTAGCATCATAGAGTAAGCTTTTCATTAAGAGGACAGAAGAGGTACTGGTTTGGGGACATAATAATCATGGTTAAAGGTATGGAATGTGCTGTAAGATGACAAATTGTAGCTCTCTCCATGCTCATTCCCCTTTCCTGATTATGATTGAATATGTTCCATCAAGTTGGTATTGACTTTTACTGGCCACAGAGACACCTTCTTCAACATGCTTTGTGCCCAAATTGTCCCTTCAGGTCTCCCAGTGGTGCATTCATTGCCACTGCAGTCAACAACTACCTTGCTGCTTGCTGGTCACCCTCTTTCTCTCTTTTCTTCCACTCTTCTCAGCTTGGTGGATTTCTCAAGGGAACCTTCCTAGTTAAAATATCCTAGAGGTGCCCTAGTATCTATTTGCTGAGGATGCATCCTCACAGTGGAGCTTCTGTTTGTCACCAGACCACTAAAGAAGTAGGCTGAAATGGGGCCAAGTGTTCCAGCATGAATTTAGTGTTTTCCATCCTAGGCCGGTAGAACAGGGGTCTCCAACCTTTCCAGCTTTGCAGACTGGCGGGGGGGGGGAGAGAGAGGAGATGGTTCCATGTGAGTGGGAGGCAAGTGTGCGTGCATGCGCAGCTTCATTTGTACAAGAAGCAAGCATGCACGCCTGCTGCTTGCAAAAATAGAGCTGTACGCAAGCACTCGCCCACCCACCTGCTGCATGTACTAGTGGAACGGCACGCACGCATGCGCTTCCCCGCCGCTTCCATGGCCCAGTTTTGAATGGGCCACAGCCCAGTAGTGGGCCACAGTCTGAGGGTTGGGGATCCCTGCAGCAGAAGATCTTCTGTGAAGATTTTGTAGCTCATGTAGAAGAGGAGCCTCAGAGACTAGAGATTTGCTGGGCCCCAGTTGGCTGCCACAGGACCTTTCCCTCCCAACCAGGCTTTTCCGTGGCCAGTTTTTCTGTGTCTGTCTGTGGGACTGGGCACCTCGTCTGCACAGCCTGTTCTTCCTCCTCTTCTTTTTTGTTAGGGGCTTCCATGAGGTTGATATTGCCATTGGGGGAAAGCAAATTATCAACTCTATAGGATTTGCCTGGTAGCCCTCTCACTTTTCATTATGCACAAGTGTGCTAACCTGATTCCTTCCTCCTGACCCAATCTCTTGAGTTTTCAAGATAACCTAGAACAGTGATGGCGAACCTTTTAGAGACCGAGTGCCCAAACTGCAACCCAAAACCCACTTATTTATCGCAAAGTGCCAGGGCTGCATCAGCATTGTGGTGCCCTCAGGGGGGGTAGGGGGAGTGGCCCACTGGGTGGGCATGACTGCAGTGGTCACCGCAGACTGGGTGAGCGGGGCCGGGGCCAGGGCGGTGGGGGCCAGTCCCTCGCCATCTCCGGGGCATCCCCGGGGGGACCAACACTGCTCACTTGCTCACTTCCTGCCCCGTCGCTTCCAAATGCCACGTGCTCGCTACTCTGGCGAACTCTGCTGGGGCAACGGTGCGCGTGCCCACAGAGAGGGCTCTGAGTGCCGCCTCTGGCACGCGTGCCATAGGTTCGCCACCACTGACCTAGAATGACACATTTCATTTTTGGAGATGTTACACATTGTCCTTGCAGGCAAGGTGGGATGGGGATTGATGCCTCTTGATTTGCGTGATGTTGAGGATTGCAGTCCTCCTCCTCAACAGGACTTAAAGCAGCAAGCTGGACAACAGTTCCAGGGGATTAAAATTGCTTAACGTCTAGGGCTTAACAAAGAACAACCTGGAGTACAATTTATTACATCTTTGGCCACCTTTCCTCCTAGCTTTGGGAATGCCCTGGGGGTAATGGACATTCCTGTCCTGAATGTGCTAGGAACTGCAGTGGCTTACCATCTCTTACACATGCACATTTCCCCAAGTCTGCCTTCTTAGCAGCAGCCCACCCTGTGTTTGATGGCTTGTTTTCCTGCTAGTAGGTGATGCTGTGTGGAGGGGGGAGGACAACAGGGATTCTTCCCATCTCTACCCTGAGGAAAACCCTTCCATACATTATGTTAACTTTTCTTCTGATTCTTTAGGTTGAAGTCACTTATCCTGATGGGAGTCCGGCTGACAGAGTGACTGTCCGGGTAAAAGCGGAACTCACTCCAAAGGACAACATTTACACAAGCGAGTTAGTGTCCAGAAGCGGTGTGGTGGAATTTGAAATCCCCTCCATCCCCCCTGCTGTCCAGTACGTCTGGCTGGAGGTGGGTGAAAGCCCTTGATAGGATTAGTGGGCTGGAATTGCCATTAATCTCATCAAAGGCACACTTTGTCAATGGGGCCAATGGGTTGAGAACATGGGGGCAACTTTGTTTAAGAACGTTAATTGGAGGATTTCCTAATCCTTAAATCTCTTCATTTCCTTGTGGATGTGTGATTTCTGGGGGATTTTTGAACTGAATGGGAAGGAACTCACAGAACACGGGGCAGGGTACAGTGAGAGGAGGGTGTCTGCTTGGTATTCAGGACATCCCAGTTTCAGTTTATGGCATTTTCAGGTAAATGGAGAAGGTGATAAAGGATGGGAAAGTGTGTTTTCTAGCTGAGTTCCAAGGAGCCAGGTTCTGTCAGCGGAAGCCATATCAGACCACATACGCTCTTTTCCATGGGTGGGTTCAAAATGGAGGCAAATGTTCAAAATGATCAGGTGGGTTAATACTTGTCATTCCAGACAGGGAAAAAAACTGTGAAAAGAAACACTTCATTATTTTGAGGCTCCCCATAGATTCCCACTTATTGAAACCATATTCTGTCCATTAATTAGAAAATAATGGAGAAACAATGATATTGATACAGGGTGCAGAGAGGAGGAGAAGGGAATTTTAGAGACCTTTTTTTTGTTGTTTTCACTGGATGTCAGTCTCCAAACAGCCCTGATCTGGCAAGGTTGCATCCTGTTCTGTTAACCACAGTGCAGAGTCAAATCTGGGGGAAGATTAGATCAGCCTGGTCAAAATCTGCAAGATGTGTTGGGAGTTCAGAAGTTGCGCTTGACAATGACTTTCTACTTTCCACCTTTCTCGAGACCAAAGTCACAGCCCTGGATGGGAAGCCTGTTGGAGATCAGTATCTACCCAACTACCTGTCGATCAGCAGCTGGTATTCACCTAGCAAGTGCCACATCCAGCTTCAGATGCCAGGCAGACCTTTTCTGGTAAGATGCAAGGCAACTGTCTGCATCTTGTTTTCAGAGTTTTCAAGATGCATCTGATGGGTTGCTCCGCTGTTCTCAGCCTAGTACACTTGGAATGACTAATATCCCTGTTGAGGAAGCTGGGCTGCAGCCAACATGCCTGCTTTGGCTGGGTGTTCCACTTTGGCTGGCTTTCAGAATTGATCTTGCTCCAGGGAAACACTCAATCGCCAGAACTCTTTGGCTGCCTTTTCTTAACAATGAGACTGCTCTGCATCTTTGCATCCTGAGCTGTGCTCTGTTTTGCTTTGCCCTGAGTATGGCGTGGATTTGGAAGATGTGCCAGGTTCCAAAATACTTAAGGGAAATATGGTCTATTGTTTCAGGAAGGCATTTCCTTCAGCATTGATGCTGGAATTCAGTCTTTGTTCCGTGGCACCCTTTGAATCAAAGCCCCTTTCCTCAAATCCATGTCCTCCAGATATGCCAAACCACACCACCAATTATAGCAACAGCAATATCACTCAGGCTTATATAAGTGCTCTACAGCCCTCTCTAAGCGGTTTACAGAGTCAGCCTATTGCCCCCAACAATCTGGGTCCTCATTTTACTGACCTCGGAAGGATGAAAAGATGAATCCACCTTGAGCCCGTCATGCCAACCAGATTAGCTTTTCTTTCAGAAAAGTCACTTGGGTAGGAAGGGAAAGAGATATTTGTTGTTGTTAATTGTTGTTAATTGCGAAGTCGTGTCCGACCCATCGCGACCCCATGGACAACGTTCCTCCAGGCCTTCCTGTCCTCTACCATCTTCTGGAGTCCATTTAAGCTCACACCTACTGCTTCAGTGACTCCATCCAGCCACCTCATTCTCTGTCATCCCCTTCTTCTATTGCCCTCAATCTTTCCCAGCATGAGGCTCTTCTCCAGTGAGTCCTTCCTTCTCATCAGGTGGCCAAAGTACTTGAGTTTCAACTTCAGGATCTGGCCTTCTAAAGAGCAGTCGGAGTCGATCTCCTCTAGGACTGACTGGTTTGATTGCCTTGCAGTCCAGGGGACTCGTAGGAGTCTTCTCCAGCACCATACTTCAAAGGCCTCAATTCTTTGTCGCTCAGCCTTTCTTATGGTCCAACTTTCACATCCATACATTGCAACTGGGGAAACCATGGCCTTCTGACTTGAGATATTAGCAAACCTTTATATGGCTGCAGTTGCCCCCTTTCTCTTTCCAGGTGGGAGAGGAGGCATGTATTGCTGTGAAGTCCACTTGCCCGTGTAATTTCACACTCCACTACGAAGTTGTATCACGGGGGAACATTGTTCTTTCAGGACTGCTGCCTCGAAACAAGACTTGGGAGGGGAGCAAAAGAACCGCCACCGCTGCCTCTTCTGGTAAGAACATTTACATTACTTACTTCTCAGCGTGTTGGAGGCAGGGTCAGAAAGGAGTAGCTTTCTACCTTGAGTGGCAGTCACTGGCTCCTGTGGGTGGATATGAACAAACAGCTGACCCCGCCTCCTGAAAAGCCAGGGCTTTATTAACACGAATGTATTTTCCACACTGTTTCTTGTTTAGACTTGACCAACTCTTCTGCTCCAGAACTGAATACCTGCATGACTTCTATCTGTTTCTCAGTCATTCCAAACATGGCTCCCCTGGGCCGTCTTCTTGCATACTATGTGCGGGAGAATGGAGAAGGGGTTGCAGATAACATGCAGTTTGCCGTCAAGCCTTTCTTTGAGAATCAGGTATCCAGTATAGAATGGCTAGTCCTGCACCTGGGTTGTTTGGCAAAGGATCCCGGGTGATGGTGGTTCTTCCCTTTCTTCTCTTCCTCCTCCTCTTAATGTTCGATGCCAGGTTTCGGTGGCATTTTCAGCAAATGAGACCAGGCCAGGTGACTCCATATCTGTTACAGTGCAAGCTGCAAAGGGAAGTTGTGTTTGTTTGGCCACAGTGGACAAAAGCATTTACCTTTTCAAGCCTGGCTTCCAGCTGACCACTGACCAGGTGAGCAGCATCCACTTGGGAGGGGGGAATGTTTGGTGCTGAGTCTAAGAAGGAAGTGATGACCTTTTAGAAAGAACGTAAACATCGCTCCAGTGTAGGGATGGGCAAACATAGGAAAGCCTGGAGCCGCACTTCAATTTTATGGAGGAACTAAGGCCACAGTAGGCTTGGACATCATTTCATCTGGGCAGGGGTGAGATTTTCCCCCCTAGGTATTTTAGGAGCATTTGGAAGCTTTCTCTTTTTATAAGCGTTAAGATGGCAGGAAACTATTATTTCAGTTCTCAGACTGGATCAGAAGCAGCTCCTAACGAGCAGAGAAGAGCTTCAAGTTGCCTGTAGTTTTAATAGATTGGACCAAGCAACGGATGGAAACTAAGCAAGGAGAGAAGCAACCGAGAACTAAGGAGAAACTTTCTGACAGTTAGAACAATTAACCAGTGGAACAACCTGCTTCTAGAAGCGGTGAATGCTCCAACACTGGAAGTTTTTAAGAAGAGACTGGACAGCCATTTGTCCGAAATGGTATGGTTTCCTGCCTGAGCAGGGGGTTGGACTAGATGACATAATAATAATAATAATAATAATAATAATAATAATAATAATAATAATAATAATAATAATAATAATAATAATAATAATAATAATATTTTCTTATGCAGGCAGCCAATGCCTCTCAGAAAGCTACAAGCAAAATTATGGATAGACATCTTTTCACACCATTATTCTTTGCAAAACCATATTCATTGCTTTAAAATTATGATCATTGCGGTATTTTATGCCAGTGTAGATTAACTACCTCTGGTGTGGGGAAAAAAATTGCTATGATCTCTCTTAAAACTCTTATTACTTAGATACACTGGAAGACCATACCATATATAATATAATCTGAAGACCTTGCCGTTATTTTTCACACATCAGAGTTGGATTTTGTTGATCACTTCTGAAAAGCAGAGCCTTTGAGTAATCCAGCAAGATAGTTATTAACCCCCGACGTGCTCATGGACAAATGTTATGTTATCTCCTTGTGCAGATCTTCCAGGAACTTGCAGATTATGATGTGTCTGATGCTTTTGGAACTTCAAAAGAAGAAGGGCACTTCTGGTGGCCAGGCTCAACGCTACACAAGCGTCGCCGTCGTTCTTCTATTTTTCCCTGGCACTGGGACATTGCCAAAGATGCCCGCTGTGCGTTTACGGTGAGGTCTTCCCTTCTTGCATAAATGTGGCATCTGCATGATGTCTTTTGCGGTAGTTGTAAAATTGCCAGCAGACTGAGAGCATAGTCAAGCAGAACAACTCAACAGATAACAGATTAAACCCACTTTAGCACACTGCATGGAGCAAATTCAATCTTGTCTTGCTTTTCCTACCGTAGGAACTTACCAATCTATAACAATCTCTTTCTCTGAAACTACCATTTTTTGTTCAGTGACTTTTAATAGGTGATGCAGAGATCACTATATAATAATAATAGGCTGCATATCCTATTTTTGCACCATAATAAATGTTTTATATATTTTGTTTTTTCACACTGAATCTGTACTAATCTGGAGTAACAAACTTACAAAATGCCATATTTAGAGCTTATATGACTTTAATTAAATATTCACTGTTTGGGGGCTTATTGTTTATCTGTTGATCTTGGCTGTATGATTTGTGATTAATTATCCCCTTAATTGTTTAAACTTAAATTGCTCCAGCATTACTTTCTCTTTCCAAGAAAAGGAACTTTCATTTCTGGTTTGGTTTTTTTTTTTGTTTTGTTTTTTTTTTGCATTCTTTTGTCTGTTTTCAATAGAGGGTGTTATTTAGCAAATAAAAAGAATGAAACATCTAATTAAAGTTGTTTCTCAACATTTCTGCAACTCTTAAACATAAATTAACACTGCATAGTTTTAGAGAGCTATTCTAAGGGAAATTACAGTAGCGGGAAATTCAGCACTAACTCAGCATTGATCAAGAAGTAAACAATTCAGTACTTCTTAATCAGTGTTACCGTGAGTAAACTACAGAAGGCTCTTGAGCACAACATTGGATGTTGCAGTGCTATAAGAAATTCTATTTTAATCAATGTAATTCTGAGAAAACAATTCTTGGCACTAAAGAATTCTAAGGTAGAAATAACATCTTGCCGGCACTGAATCTTGCAACTTTAAAGGAACAGAAATATACAAATAAAGAATATTTGTAAAACAGAAATATGTTGCAATTTGGCAGATTGGGATGGGTTTTTCAATAAACTGTGTCTCTGGGCCTGGTCTCACATAGTAACTGGTGCTAGGAAGATCCTGAAGTTCTAGATCAGGGGTAGGCAACCTTGGCTCTTTTATGAGTCGTGGACTTCAACTCCCAGAATTCCTGAGCCAGCCATGCTGAGGGGAAAGGGAGAGGTTTCCAAGCTGAGCCACGCTGGCTCAGGAATTCTGGGAGTAGAAGTCCACGACTCAAAAAAGAGCCAAGGTTGCCTACCCCTGTTCTAGATACTACAGACTGTGGTAGGAAGAACAGTAGAGTTAAAACACTGCAAACAAGGTATAACCAGTTAACCCAGAGCAGATTTCATATGAGAATTTTGCAATCTTGAAAAAGAATTGGAAGCCTTTTTTGGAGAACGTGGCTGATACATTCGGCTGGTTTTTTTTTGAGGGGCAGGGATAGGGCACCCAGAACCTGGCAGCCATTCTGTGCATTTGGGGTGCTGGTTCTTTTCACGCTTAGAACCCATTCTGCAGGCCGTATCCTTCCACAATCCAACCCAAATATGTTCTGAAAATGCCTTTAGTTCCCTCATCTTTGTATCCTTATTACGGAGATATATATTTTTTCCCCCTGTTCCGAGAACTCTAAGTTTGTGGCCGTTGGAAAGGCTTTTCTTTGGTCAGGAAGGAGGTGGCGTGAGAGGTTAGTTTCTAAGTACATCTTGTGCTCAGATTCTTTGAGAAGGAGTCCTTGGCATCCAGAGCAAAAATCCTGTTTTCTGCTTTCTCTAAACAGGCCACTTTCCCCAAAGAGGGCTGTCAACCGAGATAGCATAGGTGAAAACGTTATTGGCTCCTACGTGCTTGGCAGAAGGGACACAGCCTCTTCTGTTCCCAGGGCGAAATGATTTCATTTTGATCGGGGGGGGGGGGGAGAAAAGCTTGTTAACAAACAAGTCAGATCATTTTAAATTGGGGGGGGGGAGAGAGAGAATTTGCAGTCAAAAATAAACTGGCAGCCTCTGAGAGAACCATAGGAAGCATTCCTTCTAAAGAAGACAGGCTTGTCTGTTTTGGGAGGAAACAGAAAACTGATCCCCTAGTAAGGATGAGTTTTTCTACTCTCTTCCTTTTGGTAGCCAGTTTTTACCCAAGGAAGTGTTCAAAGAAAGTGAATTCCTATTGGATAAAAATATTAAATGAGATGATTAGGGGACTGGAGGCTAAAGCATATAAGGAAAGGCTGCTGGAATTGGGTATGTCTAGTTTAATGAAGAGAAGGACGAGGGGGGACATGATAGCAGTCTTCCAGTATCTCAGGGGCTGCCACAAAGAAGAGGGAGTCAAGCTATTCTCCAAAACGCCTGAGGGCAGGACAAGAAGCAACGGATGGAAACTAATCAAGGAGAGAAGCAACCTAGAACTAAGGAGAAATTTCCTGACAGTTAGAACAATTAACCAGTGGAACAACCTGCCTCCAGAAGCAGTGAATGCTCCAACACTGGAAGTTTTTAAGAAGAGACTGGACAGCCATTTGTCTGAAATGGTATAGGGTTTCCTGCCTGAGCAAGGGGTTGGACTAGATGACCTCCAAGGTCCTTTCCAACTACTACTACTACTACTACTACTACTACTACTACTACTACTACTACTACTTATTATTATTATTATTATTACTACTACTACTACTACTACTACTACTACTATTATTATTATTATTATTATTATTATTATTATTATTATTATTATTATTATTAAAAATGTTATATCAGAACTGCAAATACCAAGATGACTGCTAGGTAGAAGTGTGTTAGTGCTGCCATCTAACGATTATTTGGATTTTTGCAGACCAAATTTGGCACTCTTAGAGAAGTACATCTCCTAACCAAAATAGAGTAATATCTCAGGGTGTTTGGAGGATTCCTTTTCAAACTCAGAATTATGCAAAGATTCCTAATGAAAAGAAGACTTATTTAATGTTTGGGGAATTACTACATCATAAATGATATGCTGTTGGTGGGGAGGGCAGCATTTTTATATTGGCAAGTCAGGATAGATTGGCCTGGAATGCCATCTGTAATCTGGATTAAGGAATGCAGTCTCAGCTGAGGAGGGTCTGCAGTAGCTCCAGAAGAAGAAGAAAAATCCCACTTGTCTCCTGAAAGTGGAGGTGATTCTCACAAAGTCCACTTTATTTTATTTTTGCTCGCCATTGCCTGGAAATTCCATTTAGACAATCTGAAAACTGGTAAGCCAGTTTTCCTCAAAGCACCTGGTCTTTCTGGAGAAGAATCACAAAGGATGTGGAAATCACTGCAGTGTCTAAATATTTTCCTGGTAACAGCCATTTGTGCTGGCTGGTTTGATACAGCTTCCCTGTGTTTCAGTGATCTTTCCTTCCGTGGATATTTGGAGGTGTGTGTGTATATGGGGGGGCATTACTCTTTAATGGGACAAACCGAATCAGTTTTTTAACAGACATGGCCTTTTTGTTGTTGTTGTTTCCTGTTGCCTAGGAAACCGGTTTAGTTGTAATGACTGATCTCGTCAGCTTAAACCATAGACAACATGGCAGTCTATATACGGAGGAAGTTGTGCCTGCCTTCCAACCTCACACCGGGATGCTGGTGGGTTCTGCACATTCCAAAGCTCAGCCCAGGTAGAACAAATGTTGCTTTTGTTGATAATCTATTTGTCCCAAAGATGTGTTGTGCCGCCTTTCAACTTGGGGTTTTTGTGTTGAAGATGGCCTCGCTTGGCTCCACGGAATAAGGATTTAGGAGCCAGTTTGGCCTATCTGCTACTTGGATGAGCCAAAGAAGCTTGCCAATGGGAAGTAACAGGCAGCTACAATCCCAACGACGTAACCCAAGTGGCATTGTTGTTCTGGGCATGGTGGCAGACACCTGCTCTTTTGCTCAGCAGGCAGTAAGGGTTGATAAGAAGAGGCCAGATGGCACTTGTGATGGAATCAATGTGTATGCGTGCATGTTGTGGTAGCTGATAATGTAACTCTGTTTTGGCCCCTTTGACTGGGAATGGAAATGTTTAATCACACAGCTTTGTGTTCCATGGGAGATCTGGAGGCGTTTGTTTCTTGCTTCCTGCCAACTGGTTGTGGAAGCCTGAGACTGGCATGAGAAGCAAGGAACGAGGTGCTTACTAGGTCAGGATTTCCTTTAGCTGGCCTCTTCTAGGAAGGCAACTCAATTTATTCTAATAAATTGTTTTTTATTGGGCAGAATTCTTTATGCAATGATAAGTCTCTACATCATTGATAACAATGATAAATGTGGTAAAATAGAAACATAGTATAGTATAGTGATATTATAGTAATAAAAATAAAACAAACACTTAGATTTAAAACCACAGATGCCTGGGAGAAAAGGAAATATTTTGAACTGGTGCCAGGAAGACAATAATATGGGCAGTAGGCAGGTTTCCCTGGGAAGAACAATCCTACGTTGGGTCCATAACTGAAAAGATCTTCTTCTATGTGGCCACTTGGCCAACTAGATTGGGAGGAATACTTGAAAAAGGATTTTGTAGCTAGGCTAGAGTTCCTGGGCAAATACATATATGAGGAGGAATTATTCGGGATAACCTAGACTCCAGCTGTCCCAAAGGTGCTTTTCCAAAAGGCAACTGGACTTTCTTGTTTTTTTCCTTGAAAACTTTTCGCTTCTCATCCAAGAAGCTTCTCCAGTTCAGAACTGAACTGAAATCAAGGAAGTCCAGTTGCCCTTTGGAAAAGCACCTTTGGGACAACCATGACCTGAATGATTGAGAATCTTCATAGACATCTAGCCTCCAGCTGTTGAGAGATTTAAATACTAGTATGAGTTTGAAAATTGGTTGGTAGGCCCTGCAACTGATCAAGGGCTGAAATCAGATTGCCACAAGAAGTAGGGTTTCATGCAGTTTCTGCTTTTGAAGGAGAATATTGCTCAGTTCTCTCAGCATGGACAAATCTCTTGCCTTCCACAGAGCAGACAAGAAGAAAAGAACATTCTTCCCAGAGACTTGGATCTGGCGGTGTTTCAATGTCAGGTAATTTCTCCTCAACGTGGATCCATCTTCTGTCATCTATAGAGGCCTGTCCTGCTTGGTGAATGAAGCACAATTTTGTTTTTCTCTCTGTGAGAAACATGGAGTTATTGAGGTTTGTTAGGTCAGGAAAAAAAATAGGAAAGACTCCTTCAAACTGGGAATAAGGGTTAAAAATGTAAATGTGGCTTTTTATAAGCCAGTGTAAAGGGATGCAAGATGAAGAGGAATTAAAGCCATAATTGTAGAAATATACTGATAACGTCAAAGGCTTGATGAAACCAGTGTGAAGATGCTATAAAATTAGAAAATACTATAAATGTAGTCCTCAGATTATGGCCACTCATTCAGGAACAATTGACAATTATGGTGATAATGAGGGAGACTTAAAAGTGTCAATGAAGTTGCAACTGTTGCAGCATTTGATTTGCTTTGAAAGAAGTTGAAGAGACGCTTAGACTGTAAACAGCTATTAATTAATTGATTTGATTGATCATATGCCATCAAGTTAATGCTGACTCTTAGTGAACACGTGGATTTTTCTCCATTACTGTCCTTCGCTTGGTCCTTCAGATGTTCCAGCATTCTACTCATCACCCCTGTAACTGAGTCCATGCAATCTGCTGCTGGTCATCCTCTTCTTTTTTCCTTCAATCTTTCCCAGCATTAGAGCTGTCCCCCAAACAACTAGGTCTTCACATAGTTTGAGCCTGTTAATCTGGCTTGATTTGTTCAATGACCCATTTGCTCTTTTTCTTAGCTGCAAACAGTATTTTCAGAAGCCTTCTTCAACATCAAAGTTCCAAACATCAATACTTTTTGTATCCTGTTTCTTCAAAATCTAACTTTTGCTTCCATAGAGTGTCACAGGGAATATTATTTCTTCTATTATTTTGATCTTTGTAGGTATAGAATATATTTTCCAAGGACTTTATGGCTGCTCTACCAGGTATTAATCTGTGCTGTGTTTCTTGACTGCTTGTTCCTTTACTCTTAATAGTTGATCCTAAAAAGTAGAAGCTATCCACCACTTAAATCTTCATTGTTGGTTCTAAGAATAGTTGTTGAACTGGTTGTGTCTAATGGGACTTCCTTGTATTTAATTTTAGTCTCATTTTTACACTCTGCTCCTACTTTTATTACTAAATCTTTTGCATTTTCAGCTATCAAAGTAGTGCCATCAGCATAACACACCTTTTTCCTCCAGTTTTAAAACAACTGTCACTCTTTTTCCAATTCAGCTTCCATTAATATATATTTGGCATATATATTGAATAAATAAAGGGAGAGCATACAGTCTTATTGCACTCTTTTGCCATCCTGGAGTCAATCGGTTTCACTATGTTTGGTTCATACTGTGGTGTGATCTATATATAAGTTTCACATGAGGATAATAAGATGTTCTAGGATTCTCATTTTTGTGAGCACATTCCAGAACTTGACATGATTGACACCACTATTATTATGGTCCTTATATTTTATTTGTTCAATTAGATACAAAATATTTCTCAATATCAATTGCTGGCAGACTTAAGCAAGAGATGCCACTGCTTTCATGTTACATTTACAGGTTCACCATAGTTTTTCAGGAACTTAGTATTGGACTAGATAAGGAGAGAGCAACTTATTTTCACCTGAAAGCTATATCAACTTTTCTTCCATTCTATGTCAAGGAGTATGATGATGTCACAATCCTGTTTTGGAGCTGGGGGTGGCAGAGTTTAAAGGGAAGAATAGTGCATTTTGCTTGCATCTTATCTGAATTCTTTTAATATTTTTTTAAACAAACAATCTGCTGCCAAAACATCAGTCTTCAAGTTTTGGCTACATGATCTTAAGGTGTTGTAAAAGTCACAGATCACTGCTGGCAGCCATAGACTGTCCATCCGTGGACTAGATCATTTTTTGGCTTCTGAACACAGCTGTGAGACATTCGTCCCAAGATTTGTCTAATCCAGGGACGTGAACTCGTGTTTGTTTGATCTTAAGACATGTATTAGGTGAAGCTTTGTATTAAATGTGGGGATTCCTGTAATTTTGAATAGGAGAAGAAATAATGTTTTTTTCCCCCATTTGGCTTCAATGGAAAAACTGTAAATCCTCTCAAATGATAATTGGCAATGGGGCACTTTCTCTCCAGAATTATAAGTTACTCTTGATGAAAGAGGAAACAGAAGGTTTATACAGATATCAGGGATTGTCTCTTAGAAAGTCTTGGGCCTTGTCAGAGAGCCAAATAGCTGTGTCTGTGTTTGCACTCAGGCACCTGCTTTGGCAGAGAATGAATGCCAATGTGGTATGCAAAAATTCTTGTTACTGGTTAGCATCCCAGTTGAGAGAATAGTGCCCATGGCTCATTATTTCATGACATGGTTTAGCATGTAACTGGAAACTATTTTATCTGAAAAGAATCTGCCTTTGCCAATTCATTCTTGTGGGAAACTATAGCCACTTTTCTTCCTCTCTATCCTCTTATCATCTGATCAATAGGGGTCATTCTGTTGTAATTTAAGCCTTTTTTTTTTACATCTACTGATTTACATTTAAAGCATGGTAAGACAAGGAACAGCATAGTAGATAAAATGACAGACATTCAGCATCCATTTCCTTTACTTAAATGTTAAATGGGGAATGTTCTGATGTTTCCTTACGTTAGCAAACAGAATTTCTTGCACAAAAAATGATCGGGAAGCATCTTGATTTGGTTAGTACTGAGAAGGAAATACCTGAAGACAGGTTGTTGGGTTTTTTTTTACTTCTAAACAAACACTGCAACTTTTTAAAAATCTTTTTTCTATCTATTAAAATTCCTCTCTATTTACAGGAATGTTAGCAATCGTACTATCTTTATCATTTTGCAAATAAGTATCTGGTGCTACATGGATAATGGCTTTTCATTTAGCACTTGTCTTGCTCTTAAATGCTTGTCAGATTTGGAAATCCACTACCATAGAAAAAGACATTAATTTGTTAGAAAAACAACTTTGCATACACAAAACCCCAGGTTTAACACAGTTAATAGGGTCTATTTTTTTTTCTGACATCATGAGTCAGAGTTGATGATAAGCCATGATTTGTTAGCTAAGGTACCATTGCTTGAGTTTACATATTGTATGAAGCCTTTAACCATGGTTTATAAATTATAGTGACTGGATTCATGCAAGACTATGATGTAGTATATATAGATTTAATAATAATAATAATAATAATAATAATAATAATAATAATAATAATAATAATAATAATAATAATAATAATAATAATAATAATAATAATAATAATAATGATAAAGTTGGAAGGGATCTTGGAGGTCATCTAGTCCAACCCCCTGTTCAGGCAGGAAACCGTATACCATTTCAGACATATGGCTGTCCAGTCTCTTCTTAAAAACTTCCAGTGTTGGAGCATTCACCGCTTCTGGAGGCAGGCTGTTCCACTGGTTAGATGTTGGATAAGGGCTAAGAAAACCTGATTCAAGAACATGTTCAACTATAGAACCTCATTGATAGACTGGAGCAGTCACTGAGCCTTACCAGACAAGGAAACATTGCACTTAAATGCTGGAATTTTCCTTTGCCTGATGTAATATTCACTGCAAGTTATAGCTTGCTTGTTGTAAAAAGAAGGAAAAAAAAGCTTGGCATCCAGACAATCCTGAAGAAAGCTATGGATAGATGACAAGCCCCTTTTTGTGTCTCCCATTGTTCGTTGAAGAAAGGAGAAAACACTGCTTTCCATGGCCCTTGGCTACGGTTTGGGGATTGGACCTGGGACAAAAAGGCAACTGAACAGGAGAAGAGGGCAAGGGCAAGAGAATTAAATAAGGGGAGGGCAAGGGCCAAAAAGTCCTCCCGTATATGGCTGCTGCCATAGAATGTTGCCTGGTTATGGGAAATTTTCAGAGAATATCCTGCACGCTATAGTTGTCTCTGCAAGGAATATGCAGGCTTGCATATGTTAGAACAGGGCTTTTCAACCTTTTCACCCATTGTACCACTTTTAGGATATGGCAATATCCGAGTAACATCAGTCGCCTAGCAAGGTGTCAAAAACTTGATGACCCCACCCCACCCCCCCAAAAGGAAAAAAGTGATAAAGTACAGGTAGTCCTCGACTTACAACAGTTCGCTTAGTGACTGTTCGAAGTTACAATGGCACTGAAAAAGTGCCCCCCAAGGCACAGCCAAGTAAGACACCTGGCTGCCCGCCCGGCGGCGCTCTTCCTCCTGTCTGAGGTTTTCATTGTTGTGAGCATTTCTGTTGAGGATTGGCAGCAGGGGTGAGGTGCGGGGGTGTTTGGTTTTTATTCCCCCTGTCTGCTGGGTGGTTGCAGCAGGTTTTGGTCACTTGGCATGACCCTGGGACAGTGTGACTATAATAAATATGAATCAGTTGCCAACCATCTGAATGTAAATCACAAGACCCTGGAGATGCTGCAACATTCCAGCTGATCGGCGCTTCTTTTGGGCTCAGCAGAAGCACCAGGATCAGTGCTGCTTTCCAGCTGATTGGTGCTTCTTCAGGGCTCAGCAGAAGCACCAGGATCAACGCCGAGCTCCAGCTGGAGTCTGTCGCTGATCCTGGCGCTTCCGCTGAGCCCTGACAGCCCTGCAGCTCCAGCCATCATCAGGCTTGTGCGGTGCTGCCACCGGTTCAGCTCATTCCCCTTCCCCGCTACCACCTGCCAGGTGCCAATGTACCACAGGTGGTACCCGTACCACTGGTTGAAAAGCCCTGTGTTAGAAGTCCCACCATGATCCTTCCATTGGAGGCAATGTGGGGAGATGGGAAATGTGACAACAAGCTGTCCATGACTTACAGATTCCCTCATTTGTTTCATGGAGCATAGAAAGCTGCACATGTGGACAACACCCTGTGCTAGAGCCATTTGAAATACATAGAGAGGAAGGTTAAACTGAGGGCTCAAGCACATGTGGCTTAATGTCAGATTTACACAGAGCTTACTATCTCCATCCAACTTTTCAGTAGGAGAATGCTATGAAAAGTTTTTTTTGAAAGGAAAGGTGACATGTTCATTGCTGCTGCTTCTTGTGTTCAGAATACGTGATGCATTTCTTTTTGAAGCCTTTGATGTATCTTGCCCTGGTGCTGGTTCCCAGTGACTCTTCTTTTCTCCTCCCTTTCCCATTTTTTTTAACAGTGATGTTTCAGGAGAAGCTCAGCTACGTGTTGAAGTTCCAGACTCCATCACCACATGGGTGATGGAGGCTGTTGGACTTTCTGAGAGAGGGCTAGGCTTGGCGAGACAGACTGAACTCAAGACCTTCAAGCCATTCTTCATTGAGTTCACCCTTCCATACCACATAATCCGTGGGGAACAGGCAAAGATTCCTCTGACAGTCCATAATTACTTACCCATGTGTTTGGAGGTGAGATTACTGATTGACTGATTTAAAAGACTTACAAGCCTTTAGTCACCTTGTATGCTAAACTCAGGATGGCTCACACCAACAGTAATAAAAATGTAAAAGAAACAATAAAAACCAGCATGGTTCCCAATGCCTTCAAACAATACTCCCCAGAACATAAACATCCGAATCACTGGGCTCCAGTCTCATCCTATCCCATGATTGGGGGGGAAAGCCAATTTTTAAGGCCTTCTGGAAGGTTAGAAAGGCGGGGATCTGTCAGAACTCGTGGATGGTGCTTTACAGCGCAGACACTGCTAATTCTTAGGTCCTGCCAGATGACAATCTTTAAGAGAAGATTCCTGGAGCACAGCTACTCCATCTGACTTGATGGAATGAGCATGTATCTTCAGGAGAGGCTGTCTCCCACAGATAATCTGGCCCCATACCAGCACTGTGAATTACACTCTAAAAGGAAACAAAATCAGTGCAGCTTAAAATCAGTGAGCAAAATAAGGGGTGCCTGAAACTGCACACACCATTGTATTCTGGACCAGTGGTGATTTCCTCGTGGTCTTCAAGGGCATCCCCATGTAGGGTGCACAGCAGTCATCCAGTTGTGAAGTGACCAAGCTCTAAGTGACTTGTGAGCTAGTTCTCCCAGCCCAGGAATGTGTGCAAATGGCCAGGGTCCCCTGGATCTCCCAAATTGTGCATCAGCTTTGCAGGAGAATGCTACTCCTCCTATGACCAATACTGACTGCAACTGGTCACAGAGGAAAGAGGAGAACACTACAAAAAAGTGCCCTCTGGTCCCAATTCTCAAACCTGGCCCAGAAGGATACCATTATGGAATGTGTGTTTATGTTGTTTGGAGAAACCCTGTAGAAAGCTATAAATCCATGATTTAGAAACCACAATGGCCGATTCCCATAATATCCATAAGAAGTGTGGTGTGAGTCAGACTGAATATAACAGTGAGTGAAGAAACTGCTAACTGTTCGGTTGCTCAGATAAAAAAAAACAACAGCAGCAAATCATTAAAAAATGGAAAGAAATTTCAAATGATATATTTAAATAGTACAATATACCATTATTAAGGCAATTTAAGGGTATCATAGTGCACACAACCCGCTTTACTTAGAAGAAAAAAATATATTGCCAGGGATACTAATTAGATCTTTGCTGTCATTGACCTCTTCCCTACAATTCAAGGCACTAAAAAGATAACCTTAGCTGGTGCTAATGTTATCTTTTTTAGTGTCTTGAATTGTAGGGAAGACTTCTACACATATGCAAGCCTGCATATTCCTGATGCTAAGCTTATGTGATCTGCTATTACTACTCCAACATTCTTTAGTTTGACCCTGGTGACTAGCTGGACTGACCCATCGTAATCATTGTTCATTCCTTATAATCTTGCAGGTTCACGTGAAAATCTCGGTGGCCAAAGGCATTAAGTTTGTGGGACATCCTGGAAAGCAACATTTGACAAGGAAAAAGTGCGTAGCCCCTGGCAAAGCCAAGCCTACCTCTATCGTGCTATCTTTTGGAGAACTGGGGCAGAACAACATCACAGGTAACAAAATTTGAATGGTGAACCTTATTTTGGTATTCCTTTCAAAAAACTGAAAGCTGTTACACGTGGTCGCCGCCACTCAGTGGATTTTGCCTATCTGCAAAAGGTATAGATTCTATATTATAGACCAGTGATGGCGAACCTTTTAGAGACTGAGTGCCCAAAAACTGACCCTGCCCCCGCTCCAACCCCTGCTCCGCCTTCACCCCGCCTGCCCGCAGGGCCACTCACCACCTCCAGGGCCTGCCGCAGATCGCCCAGCAGCGCCATGGCGGCCACCCCCTCTGCCCGCGCCCCACAGCATCAACTGTGCGCGATGGGGCATGAGGGCAGAGTCTTGTCTATGCTGCCTGGCTGCCATGTCCTCGGCTGCACTGCTCCGCGTGGGCCACGCTCAGGGGCGACTCTCCTCCAGGGGGGCTGCTGGTGAGGGGGTTGTGGGGGGAGGCAAGGCTGGGGCAACGGCACGTGTGCCCACAGGGAGGGCTCCGAGTGCCGCCTCTGGCACCCGTGCCATAGGTTCGCCACCACTGTTACAGACACTATATCTGTAGACATATAGACATCTATGGAATCTATATTCTCTATAGAAAAAACTCTAGACACTTTTCATAAATAGGTAAAGCATCTTATCCACAGTCTGCTAAAGGGAGAGAGTGTTACACTCCTCCTGAAAATAATCATTTTTAGTACATTCTCACTTGAAGGGATAGGAACCTTTTGTGCAAGAATCCACAACCTACTTTTGCCAATGGCATATCTAGAATTAAGTCCTCTCACAAATGCTGCCATGCAGGAAACTACCTGCAAAGCTCCTTCAGAGTGTTTTCTACCATCTCAGTGTCCCTTTGCCATTATTTTTTAAAAGATGAACATACCAGCCATGCATTGCACTATAGCCCCCTGCCCATCGAGAAAAGCTGTGAGCCCATAGAGTGACCTAGAGCCTTGCATCTTGAAAAATAGCAGCTTCTTATTTATTTGTTTGTTTGTTTGTTTGTTTATTTATAGCTGTACCCGGCCACGCGTTGCTGTGGCTCAGTCTGGTAAAAGCGTGTGTTGCTTTTATGTCCAACAGATGGCACTGTTTTTCAAAAAAAGCCTATTTTACCTGTCACAGGTGTGACATCTATATAATATAGGTATATAAAAACACGTGCGTATTCGAATGCAACGTTGTGTCAAAATTTCAAAGCAATCGGTGAAGAACTTTTGGAGATTTAAGATTTTGAACAAACAAACATTTACATTTTTATTTATATAGATTACTAAATAATCTAGAAAAGGCAGAGAGTATGCCAACTGACAAGAAAAATATCCGCGACCATGTTAGATTCTGCCAAGTTCCAATCGAGGACCAAGTTATTGGGAATTTATATTTCTTTGTGTCATCTTTAGCAAAAGCCTTTGCTTATAGTGGAAGCAGCTGCTGCCAAGACAACATTCAACTCATGAAGAACGGCAAACATTCTGAGGATGCCCACATAGACAAGAGGACTCCTGTTGGTGTTGACTATGTACGGAGGAGTGTTATTATTGAGGTAAGCAAGCAAATGGCCTTTTCAGAGAGATAGTTGCAGCTGGGAAGAGGGAGAAATGACCATTAGATTCAAGATCCAGAAGCTAGAAGAGATGCTAATATTTTCTAAATAGATGGATAGTAGGATGTAGGATTTGGGATTTAAGAATCAAGACCCACGGATCTACACATGGGTGTGCTTGGCAAGTCATATATGTTTAAAAAAAAAATTCTACTAATATTTCTTCTTTCTGAGGTGGTCTAGTACTCCTAGAGAAAGGGGAACTATTTCTAAAGGTTCCCTAATTGCAAAATTCTATTTCCAAGAATATTTATATGAATTCAATGCTTTCTTTTAGGCATCAAACCAAATTTTTGGTCAAACTTTTAATCATTCATTTTTGTGTCATTGATTTCTTAAAATCTTTATGTATGTATACTAGATTTATATTTTTGCTTTGCTTTGTTTTGGGTTGGGCGTTAAGTAAACTAAATTTGAAGTTTTTCTTGAGATACTTTTTGTTAAAGATAAAGCCACTGAATTTTGGTGTAGGTATTTCAGAAAAAAAATGCCATTCTTTTGCAGCCAGAGGGACTGACCAGAGAATATACCTACAGTGTTTTCTTCTGTCCTAACGGTAAGAGAATTTCAATAGCAGTTTCAGCAGCTGCTTTTCAGCAAAATTTCAGCACCAGTTTCCCTCCCTGGGCTCATTATTAAGCACTGCTAGCTGTGCTTAACAATTATGTCCTGACAACATTTTCTTCTTCTTCTTCTCCTCCCCACTGTCTCATTGAAGAAGTAGCCTTTGTTTGCCTTTAGCTTTTCAAGTTAAAGAGTTATGTTATCCCTCTTATCCCAAGAAAAGCCTTGCTGTTTGAATAATCTACACTGTCTCGCTAACAATCTCCTGATGGCAGTTGAAGACTGCTGTGAGTGTGCCATCTCTTCCAGTCACTGACTCTTGCCTTCTGGCCATTTTGGCTTGAGCTCATGGAGAAGTGAGACATCTGATGCCACATAGGGATCTGCTTGGGTAATATCTAATCAATGTCTAACCGTACTTTGCAAAGCACCGTTTGTATATCAAGCAGACCCTTACATTCATGACTGAAGCACTCTTCTCAACAGTCACTAGATTTCTTTTTCCTGTATAGGTGTTTAGTGGTCTTACGATATAGACCGCTAGACCTGTGGAGAGAGTGGTAGTAAGGAAGTCAAACTGGGAAAAGAGCCAGGTTCTGCCAGCCTATGTACTGCCAATTCTTTTATGCAAGTGAAAAGTGTAGGCAAAGTGAAAGTGAGATCACCTACAATTCTTCCAAACCCCACCCTTCTAAGCTCCATCCTACTAATATTTCCTCTTTCTGAGGTGGGCTAGTACTCCTAGAGAAAGGGGAACAAGCCTTCTACAAAAACATCAAATCCATGTCTCAAAATAATTTGGATGACAAGTAGAATAGAAGTGGCCATGGAAGAAAGTAGACCTAACACCAAATAGACCTCTGGGTTATTTTGGGATACATTTATGCTCTTCCAGAAATAGTGTGAGTAGCAGGTCATGGCAAAATAGCTTTCACACAGGCAACTTGTTGCTTGGGTAGCATGGAAGTTAGCTAAAGCCTCAAGTCTCAAGTACCTATTCACAGTTGCCCGCACAAAGTATAAAGTTGGTGATTAGTGGCTGGTTTTCCCCATTGTATGTGGTGCTAGTTGTGAGGGAAAACCCAGCCTAGGGAATTTACCAGTTGCTATCTTTAAATTGCCCCAGATTAAACTGTAAGGACAGTACAGTGGTATCTTGGTATTCAGCTGCTTTCAGACTCAAAACATTTGGTAATTAACGCATTTTGATGCAAAAATGTTGTCCGGATTACTCATTGTTTCTTTGGCACTCAGTGAACAAGCTAGAACTTGCCTTGGGACTCACTGCATTATTCCTTATGGGAAAAAATTGTTTGGTACTCATCATTTTTGATACTCATTGTGCCTTCTGGAACCAATTAACGATGAGTACGGAGGTACCACTGTACCATTTCCCTCCAGCATCATTCTTGACACTAATTAAAGCTCAACTGTTGGGACAGCACAACTCATAGGGCTACCAAGAAGGGATCTAGTGTTGCATGCACCCCAAAGGCTATAAAATAAGAAGCCAATGCTCCTTAACGAGTGCAATTCTAGAAATATAGTCATTTTGTTGGGATGATCCCTGACCACTGAATCTTCTGTATTCTCTGGGAAAACATTATTTAAAGGCTTTTCATTACAATTAATCTCCAATCAAAACATGTAGATAGCTTTGCCTTCTTGCTGAGGTGTGAGTGTGGTCTTTGGGAAGGTGACTTGAAGGATGTACCCCATGAAACCCTGACTTGAGCATATGGAATTTGAGTTATGTGCTGTGGCCTTGTTGCTGCTAAAACTATTTTACATAAAGAGAGATTAGTTTAAAAGAGGTCCGTGAAGATGTGTCTTTGGAGGTGCATTGCTGTGAATGGGACTGAACACTGACAGTGTTTTTGGTTTATTTTTGACTAGAGAAAATTCACATTTCCACTCCTAATAAGTATGAGTACCAGTATGTGCAGAAACCTGCCCACATGATGCGCTTTGATGTTGCCATCAAGGCCCACAATAATGCCCACATCGCTTTGTCCTCTGCCCCCCATGACATGGCGGAGATGACTGAAATTGTCATTGGTGGGCACCAGAACTCCAAAACTTGGATCTCTACTAGCAAGATGGGCGAGCCAGTGGCCAGCACAGACACTGTAGGCATCCTTTCGTGGGACGAGTTTCGAAGTTTTTGGATCAGCTGGGCCCATGGAGTCATCCAGGTGGGGTTTTTTTTGTTTCTTCTCATTATCTTTTTATTAATTAGTTAAAGCATTCAGTAGTACTCCTTAAGCAGCTCATGATAATATGCATCTCCTGCCTGGATTTTGGTGTGTTATGTTTCTCTGTGCAGGTGGGCCACGGCCCCTTCGTTCTCAATGAGTCCATCATTGTGACTTGGTCCACCTCCAAGCAGCCGGAGGTGAAGTATATCGGCTTCTCCACAGGTTGGGGTTCTGCAGGCGAATTCAAAATCTGGAGGAAAGAGGAGACGGATGAGAATCACAATGAAGCATTCACACTGGGCGTTCCTCACAATGTGATTCCAGGCTCAGAGAGAGCTACTGCCTCTATTATTGGTATGAACACTGGGAACAATTAAAGCCAGCTCTATTGTGACAGACTCATGGTAGGAGTTCATAACTGAATCGACATAACAGGAAGCTATCTGTATCGGAGCAAAGAAGGAATTATTCAATGCCTCAATTGGTATCTCTCAAGCAGAGCACAAAAATTAAATTCTTGTCTGCTTATTTCCCTAGAACTAGATTCTGACATGCATTTTTTCTGGATTGGGGTACTTTGTTTTTAATTTTCTTTAATAACAATTGCAGCATTTTGGAATTTGTGACTCATTCCACAATACATTCCAATGTAGAAAATTGTTTGTAACTACTCACCCTAACTAGGTGAGGAGGAATCAGCCGGAACAGCTGATACATAATACAGTAGTATGCTGTCTTGGAACACAGAGGCTCTATTTTGCTAGAGTGGCTAATGTATGTAAATGCATCTAATCTTTTTATCAAAATACTCTAAGATTTCACTTAGAGTACCAGGGAAAAGAATCTTCCCTTCAGGGCACAGTCTCTTTGTTTCTGGGAAATATAATGTGGCAAGCAATATTTGGTTACATGCCATAAGATACTGTTGGCATAAATTAATTTAATTTTAGTCTAGATTTTTTTCTTAGATTTTCAGGAAACTGCTTCTACTCTCAGATGTCTTACCCATTTGACTATTTAAGGGAGAAGAACCTAGATCAGAGGGTAAGATCTGAGTTGGCATCAGATCTGTGATTGGTTTTTCTTTTTAATCTGGGATTCTGAAGGTACATGAATGTTTCCTAAATTTAAAAACAAGATCACACACTTAGAAATATTATCTGTTAAGATCTGGTGTTCAATTATTTCAATAGTTTTCTTAAGACTTTTCGGAGCTTTTATTGTAAGAATATTAGCAATTCCTAGGTTATTAGGCATCTCCATAGGATTAACAGGATTTCTCATATATACGGTAATATAAAATTAAATATAAATAGGTACCTTTATTATGATAGGGAAATCCCATTTTCTGAATTACATATAAACGAGAAACCAATAACTAGAAATATTAAATTCAGTATAGGAGAGGGTATGTTGAGGCCTCAGGGCTATATGAAGTCTTTGAAAATCTTTGTGTGTGCGTGTGTGTGGTCTGCCTAGGGCAGGGGTAGGCAACCTTGGCTCTTTTATGACTCGTGGACTTCAACTCCCAGAATTCCTGAGCCAGCATGGCTCTGCTTGGAAACCTCTCCTTTTCCCCTCAGCATGGCTGGCTCATGAATTCTGGGAGTTGAAGTCCACGAGTCATAAAAGAGCCAAGGTTGCCTACCCCTGGCCTAGGGGAATAGAACCAGGAATGCTGAATACTGACAGCAAAATTCTTGATCGCAAAACACGATTCTAGGCCCTATCATAAGTTTAATAGTTTTTAAAAATACCTTCCTGTGCCTGTGCTGACTTTGCATCTCATCCTCCCTGTTCCCTTCTCCAAAGTATTAACTGTGACTCAGACTTTAAAAAGTACTGCTTGAGTGCCGTTGTTTGTCTTTCAGATAAGCCTGAAGGATTCAGCTGAAATACCTTTGAAGTTTTTGACACATTTGACTTTTTTTTTTTTTTTTTGCAAAAGGTCCCCAAATTCTAGTACCTCTCAGTACCTTTGCTTTGATTTAGTGACTGGTATAGATGGTCTTTCCTTGGTTATGCGGGAAGGATTTATGCGACACACTAAGCCAGAAAAAATAAACAAAGTTTCAGCAACTATATATTAAGCATATTTATCTACAGGTAGTACTCAACCACAATTGAGCCCAAAATTTCTGTTGCTAAGTGAGACAGTTATTAAGTGACTTTTGCCTGTTTTACAACCTTTCTTGCTACAGTTGCTAAGTGAATCAGTGCAATTAAGCTAGTAACAGTGTTAAGTGAACCTTGTTTCCCCATTGACTTTGCTTGTCAGAAGGTCACAAAAGGTGATCACATGACCCCCGGACACTGCAGCCGTCATAAATATGAGTCAGTTGCCAAGCCTCTGAGTTTTGGTCATAGGGTATCATAGATCAGTGGTGGCGAACCTATGGCACAGGTGCCAGAGGCGGCACTCAGAGCCCTCTCTGTGGGGACGTGCACCGTCACCCCAGTCCTAGGCCTTCAGCTGGGTTTTATAAAACCTTTTCGCTTTAGGCCTCTGCCGCCGTGTGCAAAAAAAAAAAGGTTCAATCAATGAGTCAATTTCAACTTCTCTCGAGAAAAAAAAAGATCTTGCAAAGTTGGAATTGATTGTTTGAACTTTTTAGTCCCACCCAGTCTGCCGTTACCACCGCAGCCACGCCCACCCATTGGGCCACACACCCCAATTGGCCACACCCAGCCAATGGGCCACACCCATCTGGCACCCGACAATGCATAAGTGGGTTTTGGGTTGCAGTTTGGGCACTCGGTCTCTAAAAGGTTCGCCATCACTGTCATAGACCATAGGGATGCTGCAACAACCATTAATGTGAAAAATAGCCATGCCACTTTTTTCAGTGCCATTGTATCTTCAGATGGCCACTAAACAAACTGTTGTAAGTTGAGGACTATTTGCATAGTGACTTTTCAGCTACTATATATTAAGCAAATTAAACACAATTATCCCTAAATACAACTCTTCTCAAAATACTCATTTGAGAACTGCCCCAATATTTTTTTTCCTCTCAGCATCCTATAATAATGGTACTTTTTCATTCCATTTTTGTTGCTGGTGGTGTTGGATTATTGAATTTGGTTGCCTGGAAAATTGGAAAACGTGAGATCACCCAAAATATTGAAATAGGAAGATCATGAAGATCTTGATTTTACTGCCTTGAATGAAAATAATGGATTCATGTAATTCTTTTAAATTCCGAGTCGTATTTTGCATTAGGGCCTCTCCAGGTGTGGGCTTGGGCAATTGCTTCCAGTGTACCCTGTAAAAAAGACGTTAGACCAGCATCCACCACAGTGACTAGGGAATTCTGGGAGTTGAAGTTCAAGCATATTCAACTTGCCAAGATTGTGAGAATCTGTCTTAGATTGATAGCAAACTTGTGGACTATGCTTTGTTTTCTGCTCGCTCCCACCTGGGAGAATCAGATCTGACCTTAAAAGGCAAGTTTTTCTGGCTGATACTATGCTTTTCTTTTGGTACCAGGAGATGTGATGGGGCCAACGCTGAACAATCTGGACAACCTCCTTCAACTGCCCTTTGGTTGCGGAGAGCAGAATATGATTCATTTTGCTCCCAACATCTTTGTCCTCAAATATCTTCAGAAGACCAAACAACTTAGCCCGGAGGTAGAGAGCGAAGCCACCGATTACCTAGTGCAAGGTACTGACCCTTGAAAGGCTAGAGGGATGTTTTCTAAGAGGAGATTCAGAAAGCAATTGCTTCTGGCCCCAATGTGCAAAACGTTTCACTTCGGTAAATAAAGTTTGACCTATATGTTCAGGTTCTATGTGCTGTCTTATGGGTTCTTTCCAGGATACCAGCGCCAATTGACCTACAGGAGGCAAGATGGTTCCTACAGTGCCTTTGGGGAAAGGGATTCCTCAGGAAGCATGTGGTAGGTTGCAAATTAATGGGTAGGAAGATAACATTATACTATCTCACCGTGTTCACAGTAGCCGCACATGTGGTATTTGTCCTGCCCTGCAGTTGATACTGACATGGATTTCTGCAGCTAAATCAAAACATTTCTGTCTTAGTTGAGGTACAGTAGCAAATACTGAGATAGCAGTTCTATTGCACTAGGACACTAGGACCACAAATTGGGTGGTTTGCCTCCTAGCTCTGTCTTCTTTTCCATTGAAGTCATGGCACTTCATTTCATTGTGCTTCTTTGGAACTGAGCAGTTCTCTACTCATGCTAAAACCACCATTCATCATGGATTGTGGGTTTTTGAGTGCAAAAACAAATGCAGCAAAATGGACATAGTTGACGGGAAGAACAACCTGAAAGTCTATTTTATAACGTTCTCATTAATAAGCTAGAAGAATGCTTGTCAGTTCATACAGAAAACAGCAGTTAGGAGGAGGATACTTACGGGGCAGTATGAAAATGTTCTTGGTTGGAGGTATGAAGTCAGTGGCTGGGTAGATACAACCTCACATAGTAGTAAGCAGCCAGTGTGGTGGCAATCATCCTCAGGCACTTTATGACCTTTGTATTTCCAGGCTAACAGCCTTTGTTCTGAAATCTTTTGCTCAATCCCGGGAATTCATTTTCATTGACCCCAAAGAACTTTTAGCTGCCAAGGATTGGATCATCCAGCATCAGAAGGAAGATGGCTCATTTCCAGCCCTGGGCAGAATACTCAATAAGGACATCCAGGTACCAAAAGTGGGTGGGTGGATTAGATTTGCAATTATATCCTGACAAGCTTTTAGACCAGTGTTTTTAAACTTGGATTTGTTACAGTTTGAAGGATTAGCCTATTGTGTTGATAAATAAGTCTAAATCTGAGGGGGACCTTGTTGCTCTCTGTGCTTGATTGTTTTCTTGCAGATGTTTGATCGCCGAATCTAAGTAACATCATCAGTGCTAGTAAGGAATGAAGTTTGCTCTCAGTTTATATTCTAGTGGCTTGCCTTATGGTGGTCTTAAGAGGTTCTTTGGTTGGGCTGTTTACTATTGGCTTGTTTGGCAGCTCCTTGATTGGGGTGTTGTTGACTTGATCGTTGGTCTGATGTTAATCTTGGAGTTAATCTATGCTCATCTCGGCGCTGATTACTGGCGGGGAGGTATTTTGAATATTTTGTTCCTTTTTTTGGCTAGTATATTGTCTCTTTTGCATGGTATATAGATGTTATTTATATCTATATGCCTATTGATGGTTAATTTGTCAACGTGCCAGGCTTCTAGAAATTCCCTAATGTATTTGGACTTGGCTCAGTCTGGGATGATCGCAGTTTCCCAATTGAAACTATGGTTACGTCTGTTCATATGTTATGAAATTAAAGAGTTTTCATCATGTCTTCTGACTGCTAGTTGGCATTCATGGATGCATTCTGTCAGTCTTCTGCCTGTTTGTCCTATGTAGTGACTGTCTTACATAGCCATTACACTGAATGGTATAGATCAGGGGTAGGCAACCTTGGCTCTTTTATGACTCGTGAACTTCAACTCCCAGAATTCCTGAGCCAGCTGAAGTCCAAGAGCCAATGTTGCCTATCCCTGGTATAGATTATTCCAGTTTTTTCTTCTGGGGCTGCTGGGTATTTTGCTTTTTTGTAAGATCACAATATTCACAAAAAGCAAAAGAATTACTAGAAGACAAAGAGAGTTACATCCCAGTGAACACTAACACAATACACAAACTAGACAACCGGATCAAGAGAATTCTCAGTGATCTTACTAAAAAAGGCCAAATTACCAAAGAGGAACAGTGGTGGATGAGAGCAGCAGACCCATCCTTCCATGCTTCTATGGTTTTGAAAAGTCTACGAGTTTTACCTGTTTGGTTGAAAAAGGCACATGTTTCCTGCTAGTGCTATATCAAGAATGCATAGTTTCACTTCGGTAAATAAAGTTTGACCTATATCAGTGGTGGCGAACCTATGGCACGCGTGCCAGAGGCGGCACTCAGAGCCCTCTCTGTGGGCACACGTGCCATGCCCCAGAGATGGCAACCATCCCTTTTCAACCAGCCGCTCGCTAACTCGCTGAGGTCCCATGTGGCCGGATGCATCCCAGGATGGGTGGTTTCCCTCTCCCCCCTCCCATCCCTCCTGGCCTCGCATGCTCTCCTTTTCCCGGGCACGACCCACTGCATCGCCTCCTCAGCTGTCGGTTTTGAAAAGTCTATGAGTTTCACCTGTTTGGTTGAAAAAGGCACAAGAATGCATAGTTGCTATCTTGACTAGGGATAGGTTTCACCTATTTTTCTAGTTTTCAACAGTAGAGTGTTTCAGGATGAAAGTTATAAGATTTCTCTCCAGTCTTTGATCCATAAATTAAATAATTTCTTCCCAGTTAGGGAATTGATAGTTGTTACACGTTCTCTAAAGATTCAGTCATTCATACAAATATACATTTCCAATCCAGAGAGGCAAAGTGATGTTGTTAGACTTTGTTCCACTGCTTTCTTCATCCATTCAGAATCTCTTGAGAAATGTTGAAAATGTGAAAAGAGAAGATTGGATTCAAGTGCAGATCTTTTATTCATAAACGTTTCTTAGTCTAATCCTTTTATTTCTTTTTTATTCTAGGGTGGAATTCATGGGAAGATTTCTGTAACAGCATATGTAGTAGCAGCTCTGCTGGAAACAGGGGTGACTTCTGAGGTAAAGGATAAATGTGTCATTCCCCATTTTGCCTAATATTTATGAATGACAGCTAATCAGGGACTAAAAACCAAAGAGCCAATAACCAATCAGTTTCCCTCATTAAAGCTTAAAGGGTGGGAGCTGGAACATGCCCAGTCAAGTTGACCTGAATACACAGGTTAGAAACATGGAGACAGGAGGTCTCTCAAATAAACAGGTCCTATGCCATGCAGAGCTTTATCGGTACCTTGAAATTCCCTTGAAAGCCAACTGGCAACCAGTGTAGCATACTGGCAATGGCTTATTGATAATACTCGACACCAAATCAATGGATGATCTCAACTGGAGGTTTCATGTAGAAGTCAAACCAAAGTGTCGCCTTCACCATGACATGATCAGCATATAAATTTAATAAATAAATAAATAATAAACAAATAAAAAATAAAAGCAGAGAGAGTTAAGCCCAACAGCATCTCCCAAATGAAGACTTGTGGGCATGACCTCTTACCCCCTGTCAACATCAACTAGAAATGACCACTGAAGAAGAAGGCAACACATTGCAACACATTGCTCCCATTCCTAACACCCCCCCCAGTCAGTCCAGAAGATTACCAGGGTCAAAGTATCAAAGAGATTAAGGAGCATTAACTCATTACCCCAATTCTGGTTTCTCATAGATCAGTGGCGGCGAACCTATGGCACGCGTGCCACAGGTGGCACGCAGAGCCCTCTCTGTGGGCACCTGCGCCATCGCCTCAGTCCTAGGCCTTCAGCTGGGTTTTATAAAACCTTTTTGCTTTAAGCCTCCGCCGCCGTGTACAACAAAAAAAAAGGTTCAATCAAATAATCAATTTCAACTTCTCGCAGGAAAAAAAAGATCTTGCAAAGTTGGAATTGATTGATTGAACTTTTTAGTCCCACCCAGTCTGCCGTTACCACCGCAGCCATGCCCACCCAATGGGCCACGCCCTCCTGGCACCCGATGATACATAAGTGGGTTTGGGGTTGCAATTTGGGCACTCGGTCTCTAAAAGGTTCGCCGTCACTATCATAGATCATTGACAAACATGACCAATGCTGTGTCTGTATTGAATCCCTGTCTAAACCCAAACAAAATTGGTTTGGCTAAACTATTTCCTTCAGGGTTCTCTGAAGCTGAAGCCCAAACAACCTCTCCACCTCCTTTCCCAGAAAATGGAGGTTGAAGACTAGAGAACAGTTTCCTGGATGGTTGGTTCTAGTGATGTCTTCTTAGGAAGTAGGCTTTCTGTGGGACGTGTGTTGTCTGGCAGCCAGGTGAAATAGCAGGTCTATTTCAAAACAGGAGGAAGCCAGAGAGTCCTAGGCTGCATTAACAGGGATAGAATCAAGATCACATGAAGTATTAATACCACTTTACAATGCCTTGGTAAGACCACACTTGGAATATTTCATCCAGTTTTGGCACCATGATATAAAAAAGATGTTGAGAGTCTAGAAAGAATGCAGAGAAGTGCAACAAATATGATTAGGGGACTGAAGGCTAAAACATATGAAGAATGGTTGCAGGAATTGGGTATGTCTAGTTCAGGGGTAGGCAACCTCGGCTCTTTTATGACTCGTGGACTTCCACTCCCAGAATTCCTGAGCCAGCATGGAATTCTGAGAGTTGAAGTCCACGAGTCATAAAAGAGCTGAGGTTGCCTACCCCTGGTCTAGTTGAATGAAAAGAAGGACTAGGAGTAACATGATAGCAGTGTTCCAATATCTAAGGGGCTGCTACAAAAAAGAGGGAGTCAACCTATTCTCCAAAGCACCTGAAGGCAGAACAAGAAGCAATGGATGGAAAGTAATCAAGGAGAGAAGCAGCTAAGGAGAAATTTCCTGATAGATAGAAAAATTAATCAGTGGAATGAGTTGCCTGCAGAAGTCGTGCATGCTCCAACACTGGAGGTTTTTAAGAAGAGATTGGACAACCATTTGTCTGAAGTGGTATAGGGTTTCCTGCTTGAGCAAGAAGAGTCTTCTGACTCTTATTATTCTGTTACTCAGAAGAAGCTGACAGCCTCACCACATGCAGGGCTTTGCTCTGCTTGTATAAACAAAATGTTATTTTCCTGTTTGACTGTGGTGTGATGCAAATAGAATTGCTAGGAAGAAAGTTTTGCAGTATGCTTGCTGATGCGGTTTCCCAGGAACTGAGAGGAATTATCATTTCGCTGGATGGAACTTCCCCAACGATATAAGGCCACAGAAACACCACACTCTTCTTTTTTGCCTGTTTTTTAAATTTAGCATAGGTGTGGCTTGATAGCTCCGTTTTGCAGCAATCACTCAAGCTGTTTAAAAATCAAAGAACAGGCAGAACATGAAGTAATGACATGGATTGGGAGGTAGATTTGGTGTGAACTGGATGCTGATTCTGCACTCTCTTCTTATCCAACTGGAGGGAGCATGGATGCTGTGCTCGCTCTTGTTGGGATGAGTTTGTTGTGGTTACAGGGCAGTTTAGACCATCTATCGGGTTAGGGAATGAAAACTGTAGCACAGCAGAAGTGCCCTGAGCTTAATTAATACATTTTCAGGATTGATCAAAGTCACATTCTTAGAGGATGAACTTACTGGACAACGTTAACCAAGTTCTTTTTGTAGTCTTTGGGATGTTTCTGGGTCCTCCTGTGTAAGGAATACCCTTCTTTCATACCTCCATACAGGCTTTTGAATCTCCCACTCGAGTTGTTGGGGGATGGGATAGGGCTGCCTGCTCCCTGACTAACATAGTAATTCCATCGTGTCTGAGAGAGGAGGACACACATTTCCTACTGATCATTCAAGGCTTCGATTGATGTGGCTGTTGTAGCAAGTTGAACCTGCAGCCATTGACTCTCCTCCTTCCTGTCTTCTGGCTTAGGAAGAAAAAGGAGCCGTTACCAAAGCACAGCACTTCTTAGAATCCAATACGTACTCAGTGGAAGACCCTTACACCATTGTCTTGACTACCTACGCACTCACACTTCTGCGCAGCCCTTCAGCATCAGCAGCTCTTCGGAAGATGAATGGCATAGCCATTACGCAAGGTAAAGATGCCACAGCTGTAACCTCTATCTTAGGATACTTCCACTTGGCACTTGGTCGATGCCTTTGGATTGTCCCAGAGTGCTGTGATTCTATAGCCTTGGCAGTTGGGCCTGTTACTATCCAGCTTACCTTTCAGCTCAAGCAGAAAGAAACTCATAGAGAAAATCTGTGTGGTTAGTAGGAGTTAAAAGGAGCTGAAGGGAGAAAATGAGATGCTTTCCCATCAGTGGGAATTGCTAGCTCAGGGGAAGGAAATGATTTAAAACCAGTGGGATCCTGTCTGTCCATCAGCGTGATAACTCTCCAAAAGCAGAACTCAGTGGGAAAAAAATTTGGTGTGGAGAGAGAAGGGAGCATAAGAAAGATTTAAAAAGTGAACTGGATCCAGCCAGGTGCTATGGAAAACAAAAAAAAACTAGTGTAGGGGTAGGCAACCTTGGCTCTTTTATGACTCGTGGACTTCAACTCCCAGAATTCCTGAGCCAGCATGGCTCAGCTTGGAAACTTCTCCCTTTCCCCTCAGCATGGCTGGCTCAGGAATTCTGGGAGTTGAAGTCTACGAGTCATAAAAGAGCCAAGGTTGCCTACCTCTGGCCTAGGCCTAGGCCGCTTTATGACTCGTGGACTTCAACTCCCAGAATTCCTGAGCCAGCATGGCTCAGCTTGGAAACCTCTCTTTCCCCTCAGCATGGCTGGCTCAGGAATTCTGGGAGTTGAAGTCCACGAATCATAAAAGAGCCAAGGTTGCCTACCCCTGCCCTAGTGCATCTAAAGGGAGAAGCAGTTGGCTAGCGGGTTGGAATAGTAGTGACTGCCTCTGAGCTCCTCTCCTTGTTCTATCCGGGTTATGCAACCCTGGGTTGAGTATAGTGCCCACCCTGTATTTCCTGGTGCCAGTGCTCACACACGCAACATGAAGGGTGAGCAAGCAGGCACATACATATGCATACACACAAGTGAGACTCAACATAGTTCTTCTTTACATAGAAGAAAATTGTAAATGCTTCCTATGGCCACTGTTGGTAAAATGGTTAGAAAACAATGCTTTGCATGTTTTATTGATCTTATGTTCTCTTCCTCTTTCTCTCTCTCTCTCCTGCTTCCTCTCTCCCTCCCCTTCCTCCTCTTTCCTTCTCCCTCTTCCAACATCTGACTGCTTCTAGATATCCACTAGGCTTCTTAAGGGTTTGGCTGTGGAGTCTGCTGCCATGTATCTCCTTTTCTCTTTCAGATGGCTTCACGCACTGGAATATAATGGGAACTCTTGCGACTGGTGAAGATACATTCATGGGATTCAGTGATGGCCTCTCCCAATCAGGTAATTTATTATTTATTTTTATTTTATCTTATTGTAAAATGTATTGGCTGCCGATCTTAGCACGGGGTTACCTTAACTTTGGAACTGCAGCTAGGAGTGAGAGGAAAACAGCAGTTCGTCTAGGGCAGGGGTAGGCAACCTTGGCTCTTTTATGACTCGTGGACTTCAACTCCCAGAATTCCTGAGCCAGCCATGCTGGCTGGCTCAGGAATTCTGGGAGTTGAAGTCCACGAGTCATAACAAGTTGAAGTCCACGAATCATAACAGGTTGCCTACCCCTGGTCTAGGGAATTATAAGAACTATAGAAATCCCGAGGAAGGGTTTTTTCCTACCATAACTGAACTCAAAGACAGTGACTGACGAATTCTTTGACAAGAGGGAGCTCACTTATATTACTCCTGTGCTGCTGGATTGAAAACCCATATGGGAAACTTGAGAGGAGACCGTGGCTGACCTGGAAGAAGAGGATCTGAAAGGAGAGCTGTTTTCTCTGGCAGAAGTAAGGAATGCCAACAGCTCCTTCTGTTCCTGAGCTGTGAAATGCCCCATTCTGCCACCCCTCTCTCTCTCTCCCAGTCATATCTGCTGAAGTTGAAATGACAGCCTATGCCCTGCTGACGTATACTGTGCTGGGGGATGTTGCATCTGCACTGCCTGTGGTCAAGTGGCTGTCTCAGCAGCGGAATGCCCTGGGTGGCTTCTCCTCTACCCAGGTGAGTCTTCAGCAGGGCAGGTAGCTCTGCCTCTAACCAGAAAATGCTTTAGTGAGCCAAGAAGAAATGAAACATTCCAGGGTCCATTACCTACCCGATTTTCATTTCCTTAGAGACTAGAGAAGACTTCTTGGCATTTTACGTTGCTTGCGTTTTCTTTACAAAGGGATTATAACATGTACTGTCTCCCATCATCTCTCCAGAGATATTGCTAGCAGCCCAGAATGCTTATTCATTTGATCTGAATCCTAAAATTCTCCGAGTCCTGATTACATTAACCCTCTCTTTTAAAAATACTAAGTCTCCACTATTAAATCTATATCAGGGGTCTTCAAACTTGGCCCTTTTATGACTTGTGGACTTCAACTCCCAGAATTCCTCAGCCAGCGTTGCTGGCTGAGGAATTCTGGGAGTTGAAGTCCACAAATCATAAAAGGGCCAAGTTTGAAGACCCCTGATCTATATCAGACATGTCAAACTCGTGACACCGCACGACATATCGGAGCCTTTTCCCCATTGCCGGCAATGGAGTGGGCACAGTTTCCTCGTGACGCGTCCAGCCCGCAGGCTGGCAGTTTGACACCCCTGATCTATATGAACAACACTGAGTTGCGGGTTTAGACTCAGACAGTTGTGTTAGTGGTTTAGTTAAAATTCTGTTTTGCTGTATCTACGAAAAGATCAAGCATAAATTTTACATTGTATCTGATGAGTAGCAGTTTATGTACAGCTTTTCATGTTTGAGAAGGACTGTAAGGTAGTATCTCTTTTATAGATGCAACCAGCTTTCTATAGAGGAGCTTCATTGTATTATATCTTTTGTAGCTTATATAATGAAGAGTATTGTGATACTTAAGGGCTAACAAATATTGGTCTAGAGCCATGGTATTAATGCACAGACTTCATCTTTGGCATCTACCAGACTTCCATTTCAACATGAATTAATTTTTTTACATAAGTAGAGAACTGGCTTGATGGAAAGTATAGTGTTGTTTTTGTCATTATTTTTATTTGCAGGAACACTTCTGAGTCCAGCATGTCTGACAGAAAATAGAAAATAAATATCCTAGGCATCTGTAGTCAGTGCTTTGTTTGGAAAGTGTTTTTACTTGCCCAGAAATAAAGAAAACCAAATATAGGCTGGGATGGTCAAGAACATTGGCCAGGGCAATGGAAGCATTAGAATAATATGGAGCAATCCCACCAGTTTGTCTTTTGATAAATGACTTGGGATAAGTTATGTATCCAGTAGCAGCTCTTTGCTGAGTAAATCACCCTTCCTCAGAACAACTAGGCCTGCTTTCAAAATGCCAGATATGCCCATTAGCTGAAAAATATTGCCTACCCTGGCATAAACACCACAAGACTTGGGAATTCTGGGACTTGGAGTCCACACATCTTAAATTTGCCAAGATTGAAAATCCCTCTCTGAGGACTGTAGTCCAAATAGATACCTGCCCATGTGCAGCAGACAGGAGGATGGGAGTGGTAGAGAGAGGAAAGTACAAAGCAGCTGCATGTGACACTGATTTGGGATAGCTTCTTAGCTTTTTTTTTCTCTCTCTTCCATTCTTCTGAATGGCAGGATACTTGTGTGGCCCTGCAAGCTCTGGCTGAATATGCTATCCTGTCCTACATTGGGGGTGTCAACCTCACCATTTCACTGGCCTCTACCAACCTGGACTACCAAGAGACCTTTGAGTTAAACAAAGCCAACAAAAAGCTCCTTCAGACTGCTGTGGTAAAAGGACCTCACCCTTTTTTTGTTTCATTTCCAGAATCCACTACGTATGCTTGTTTACATTCAAATTAAACCCAATTTTCTCTACAGATCCCCTCCATTCCCACAGGGTTATTTGTGAGTGCCAAGGGGGAAGGCTGCTGCCTCCTGCAGGTGAGAAACCTTAGATGCTTGTCCCATTCCTAAACAATCAATCCATTTTCTTCTTTCTTTCTTTCTTTCTTTCTTTCTTTCTTTCTTTCTTTCTTTCTTTCTTTCTTTCTTTCTTTCCTTCCTTCCTTCCTTCCTTCCTTCCTTCCTTCTTTTTCTTTCTTTCTTTCTTTCTTTCTTTCTTTCCTTCCTTCCTTCTTTTTCTTTCCTTCCTTCCTTCCTTCCTTCCTTCCTTCCTTCCTTCCTTCTCTTTCCTTCCTTCCTTCCTTCCTTCCTTCCTTCCCTTTCTTTCTTTCTTTCTTTCTTTCTTTCTTTCTTTCTTTCTTTCTTTCTTTCTTTCTTTCTTTCTTTCTTTTTCTTAACTGCCCATCTTCCTTTGGGGAGGGGTTCAGGGAGGGGTTCAATATAATCAGTAAAATTAAGCATTAAAATCAGAATAATTTAGGATGAAAAGTTTTTAAATTATAAAAACAGCATTCGAAACATGTAATAATACAATAAAACATTTATACTTTCCGACTGCCTGTTTCTCATGGGAAGATGCAGACGCAGTGCTTTCTTCTTATATTGGCCAGATTGATGTCTCCTACAATATCCCTGATCCCGTGGCTAAGCCAGCTTTCCAGCTTCTGGTGAATTTACAAGAGCCCAAGCTGAAGAGGCACCGTCGAGCCCCACGCCTACCTAAGCTGGTCTCTGCAGAGGAAAATCGTTCAGGGGCCCCACGTCGGGACCGGGTTCTGGGTGATGACGACGATCCTGCCTCCGATCAGGACCATCAGGAATATAAAGTGATGGTGGAGGTTTGCATGAGGTGAGATTCACCAAATCAGTAGTCCTATACCAGGGGTAGGCAACCTTGGCTCTTTTATGACTCATGGACTTCAACTCCCAGAATTCCTGAGCCAGCCATGCTGGCTCAGGAATTCTGGGAGTTGAAGTCCACGAGTCATAAAAGAGCCAAGGTTGCCTACCCGTGTCCTATACCAATGGCCCCCACTAATGGCCCCAAGACCCAGCCTCACAAGGGAGCGGAACAATTGTTACGTTCTTCTTTTGAGACCAAAGAAGTCAAATGAGAAGAAAGGATCCAGCTGGCTTTTCTTACCACCACCACCAACATCACCACCACCTCCTGCTTTCATTCTCATTTCTTTGTGCCTAGAGTGCAAGCTGCCTGAGAGGCTAAAACCCGAGGCGATCAGAAAACAGGATATTATTATCTTGTTTTGTATATGTTCCTACCGGTAGTACAGTCTTTAAAGAGAACAACTTGTGTTCATAGAACATACTTTACTTAGCTAGTAAATTATAGCCATTTTCTGGATTTGCACAACACATAAAACCATAAACCCGTTAGATGGGTTGGGTTTGGACACAATATCAGGCCAGAACTCAACCAACTCAAGGGTAAACTAACAAACTTAGCATGTATCATGAATACAGTTACTAGATCTGGCCTGCTTCAACGTATTATCTGTATTGAGTGGCTTTGAAGGGGGACTCCTGAAAAATTTCAGCAAAGGAAGGAGTAGGGAAGGTAGGTTACCTCTTCCATCCTTCTAAGAGGGGGGATGTTCCTGTTCACTGATCCGCCTCCAGTGAGATCAACCTCATGCTTGCTGGCTTCCTTTGTCCTTCAAAGAATATAAATGTTTGTGAACTGGACCATCCATCCTCTTTTTCCATTAATGTTGCTAATAGTTTTAAGGAAATTTGGGAAGCAGCCTTTTGGCCCCATTCCCTCAGTTCTGGCTGTGGGTATTTGAGCCCCTTCTTGCTGGAAATCTTTCATCTCCAGTCTGGGATTCTTCTATACTTATAGCTCCTACCTGAAAAAAAAGCAGGTGGCAGCTCTGTCTGGGAAAGCCTTCATACAGGTGCATCTTGTGCACCAGTTACATTCATTCCTGGACCAGGGGATCCTTCTTTCATTCACACATGCCTTGGTCACTTCATGAAAGGATTCTTGTAATGTGCCCTGCATGAAGTATCTTGAAAACCATTCAGAAGCTACAGCTGGTCCAGAATACAGCAGCATGAGCAGTCATGGGCAGTCTGTTCCATACCATCAACCCTGCTCTGTGAGTTGCACTGGTTACCAGTTGGTTTCTGAATGCAATTCAAGGTGCTGGTGGCCCCCTTTAAAACCTTGCATGCCATAGGGCCTACTTATTGAGATATAGTCAGTATCCCATGGTTGCTCCCCATCTGGTAAGATCTGACCGAGTTGGCTTCCTCCTGGTCTTCTCAAATAATGTCATCTACCAGACTTTTGCTGTTGCAGCACTTGTCCTCTGGATTAGCATCTCCCCAGAGATACACTGTACATGACCCCTCTCCCCTGCCATCCAAATAGTGAGAAGGACTAATGTGTTAATTATTTGTTAATAATTTGTTAATTATTTCTTTGTTCCTTCTCCTTCTGGTTTGTTGTCCTGAGAAAGGTGGCTTCACTCTGGCTCCTCCAACATGGCAGTCCTGGAGGTACCTTTGTTCTCAGGTTTTCGAGCTGACATTGAAAGCCTAGAAAAGGTGAGTCTCTTGTCCCTTTCCACCAATTTTCCATTTTTGTCTTTTAAAGGCTATGGATGTCCCATGCTGTCATGCCTTTTTAGAGTTCTGTATGATGCTAAAGAATAGATTTGATTAGACTTGAGTTCCTTCTGGTATGAAGGATTTGGGTTCCACTTTAACAAAAGCAAAGGTGGAAAGGATGTTGATAAACACAAAATGGGAAGGCAGATGAAGTCAGACAGAAGGATCTTTTCCCGTCAGTGGAATTATATAAGAGGTGCCCAATCTGAGGTTCCAATGTTGTATGGCGTAATACTGGAGAGCTTCATAAATTATTAAGTTTTAATGGGACAGAAAAGACAAACATAATTGGAGGATTATGGTTTTCTACTAGTTAGAGTGCATTTTAATTAAATATAAATGAGTTGAAATCAGATTTTGTTTTTGTTTTGTCCTGGTCACACCTACTACCTTCTGGGGTACAGCATCCAATATGTCATAGTAGGCAATGTGATCCACAGCCCAGAAAAACTTGAACATCACTAGATAGGAGCCTCAGATAAATTCATTGGATGATTTGCTCCCTTCTCTTTTATCCAATAAAACGATTAGAATAAAATGTTCTGGATGGCCACAGACCACTGGTGGCTTGATGGATGAAACCTGGTCTTCCTGTGTATGCAAACACTTACTCTAATCTTACTGGCTCTTATCATTCTTGCAACATGTTTTTTTCATTCTTTTTTTTTAATAAAAATGTTCTCATTTCACTTGATTCAAAATATATATAACCATTTCAAAAATGTGCAGTTCTTAGTTTGCCAGCTTGCTTGCTATGCTTGCTATGTCCAGTTTCAATCTGATGAGTGGGGATGCACCCAATGTTTTTATATTTCAGAAATATGACTATTTGGTAGAAGCCTTGGGCTCAATTAACATATTTGGCAAAGGAAATCCATGTATAAATTGTTTATACATCTCCTACATTGGACTCTCTAAGGCTACTGCTCAGATTGTTTTGATTTTAAATCCTTCAAAGCAATATCCTACTGCACAGTTTACCTTAGTCAAATAAGGTGGATAATACAGTACAGCTGGGGCAAAATACCTGTAATTCTTGGGATGTATGTGATCTTTAGATGAATTTTGTCCAGCCTTTGGCTAAACTTCAAACTTTCATCTAAGGGACATTTCATACCTTTGCTGAAAGCTTTCTGTCCCTTCTGGACAGGCAACTTGGAGATGGGAGAGATAGAGAGACAAGAGGGGAAAAAGAGTAAAATAGGATATTTCAAAGACAGAGGGGTAAAGTTGCCAACATTTTGCTGGGCCCCTACTTCCTGCTTTCTCCCTTGTGGCATCCAATAAATTATTCCTGAGGAAATGTAACCCCTCATGAAGAAAGCAAGATGTGAAGTCTATCCAGAAAAGAGTGTGTCTAACTGGGGTGTCCATAGGGAAGGGATAAAAAGAAAACCTGAAAATGGCAGCAACAATCATCTACTCCAGTGTTTCTCAACCTTGACCATTTTAAGGCATGTGGACTTCAACTCCCAGAATTCCACAGCCAGCAATGCTGGCTGTGTAATTCTGGGAGTTGAAGTCCACATGCCTTAAAATGGTCAAGGTTGAGAAACACTGATCTACTCAAAGGCTTTTTAGGTGCAAAGCAGAGCTTGTAGCTACCATTTTGACTTTCCTTTTTTTATATATAAATATTTTATTGAGTTTTATAAGGGTAATAAAGGAATAGGGTCAAAAAGGATAAGACAAAGGGAAACATACAAAAAGGTTAGACCCAGGAAAAGGGACAACACAAAAGTGGGATTAATCCCACAAAATAACATCACTTCAGCAAGTCTACCAGTCCAGGTATACATATTAAATCTTAATAATTACTCTATTATTAAACAACTTTCAGTATAATCATGTAAATAACAAATTAATCAATAAATCTCATTCATTTCACTACTTAACAATGCTTAATACTAATTAATTATAATAACTTTAAAATAATAATATATTACATATTAATTATAATTTACCATATTGTTTAAAATCACAAGTATGGAAAGAGGAAGAAGAAGAAGAGAAAAAAGAACAAGTTCATACAAAAAATCATGGGATATAAATACAAATTATCAATTATCTCTTTAAATTTCATAACCTTTTCTCATTCTATCGTGTTTCTAACCAATAATAAAATTTTCCCCATGTTTCAAAGTAAATTGTGTCTTCTTTCCCTTTCATTTCTAAAGTTAATCTATCCATTTCTGCACATTCAAGTATTTTTGTTATTATAGTCCGATCAGATGGTAAGTTTTCATTTTTTCCAAAATTTCGCAAATATTATTCTTGCGGCTGCCAACACATGTAATATTAAATACTCATTTTGACTTTCCTGAGCTGCCTGCGGACACCCTGATGTTTCCTGTCCTTTAGAGAAATGAGGAAGATTCAAACGAACATTCTGAATGAAAATGTTAAGCCAAGTCTTGCACTTTCTTTCCAGCTACTCACAAACAAACAGATTGGTCTGAAGAGGTATGAGGTGGATGGCAGGAAGGTCCTTTTCTATTTTGATGAGGTAAGACTCCATTTATCACAGTTCTCACGAAACGGGCTGTAGTTGGTCCTTTCCTGCTCATCTGAAGCAAGCATTAAACTACAGATCTCTCCTTTACCCATATGAATGGAAAAACGAAAAGGCTGACAATCCTTTTTCCTAAGAGCTGAGATGTTATGATTCTTGATCCCGTCTTTTCCTGTCCCTTCCCTTGGCTTCAGCTTAGTGTATGAAGACCCAAGGAGTGTTAGAATGATAGAACTGGCTGTCCAGGATATACCAGATTTAGTCCCCGGTGACCCTTTGCTTATTGATAACTTAAAGAACCCCTTATCCATCTCATGAAAAATACTTGAACAATGGCTTATCCCTGACTCCAAACAAGGAGCCCGTTTGCTCACAAAATCTAAAGTACCTCCTTACAATTCACCCTTCAGCTCCCTTTCTGAATTAGAAACGTTCTTAAGATCAATAGTCCCTTCTATTGCTTTCCCTTAAATGGTGCTGTTGTTGGGGGGGGGATGGGAGGGAGCTTCCCAACCCTCTTGACTCAAGACCTCACAGAGTTAAATCGCACCTGCAGATTCCAAGCCAGTGTATGACCTGTGTCAAGTTTATGGCCTTCCGTGAATACATTGTGGGGAAGACGGCTCCCTTGCCCATCAAGGTGTACGACTACTATGAGCCAGGTGGGTATGTGCCTACACAGCCACGTCTTGAGCCCGGGTAGCCAAGCCTCCTGTGACAACCTGCCTTTCCTCCATCCTGCTCCGCAGCTTTTGAAGCCACCCGTTTCTACAATGTCAGCGAATCCAGTCCTCTGTCCCGTGAGCTCTGTGACGGTCCCATGTGCAACGAGGTGGAGAGCATGGCCAGCCACTGGGGTGGTGAGTCCTGCGGCTAATGAGAAAGAGGATGGCTACACGTCATTCGTTTCCCTTCTCTATGCCATCCTTCTTTCTTTGCTCCTACAACACCAAGATGAGTTTGGGTGGCTTCATCCCACACCAGTCTGGGAAGCCGTCCCCAAGAGTGTGAAGCAGCTTTTAAGGCAGCAAATACAGGTAGTCCTCAACTTACGACCAAAAGTGAGCCCAAAGGGTTCATGTTGCTAGGTGAGAAATTTGTGAAGTGAGTTTTGCCTCGTTTTACGACTTTCCTTGCCCCATTTGTTAAGTGAATCGCTGCAGTTGTTAAATTAGAAACACGGTTGTTAAGTAAATCTGGCTTCTCCATTGATTTTGCTTGTCAGAAGGTTGCAAAAGGGGATCCCAGGACACTGCAACTGTCCCAAATGTGAGTCACTGGTCAAGCATCCAAACGCAAATCAGGTGACCATGGGGATGCTGCGTAAGTGTGGGAAAATGTCATAAGTCACTTTTTTCAATGCCGTTGTAACTTCGAGTAGTCACTAAAGCAAATTGTCGTAAGTCGAGGGCTACCTGTAATTATCTGCGGGAGCTCATGATACTTATTCTGCCTCTTACACAGGAAACAATACAAGCCGCCGAGAGTTTTGCAGTCCCTCAGCGCACCTCTAACCATTCCTGGCTATTTCTGCAGGTTTTGTACATACTGGTCCTTGCAACAGCGTCTCTGGTTGCTTAGAGGATGGCTATTTTGAGCAGTGCATGTGTTCACGTGACTGTGGCTACGATGGGGAGCTGGTGTGTGGCTCAGATGGTTTTATCTATCAGAACCACTGTCAAATGGAGGTGGCTGCCTGCAGAAACAGCACCCAGATCGAACAGGTCCTCATGACACAATGTGTGGTGGGTAAGTTTTGCATGGCCACAGAATCTGGGGAAGAATGTGGAGGAAACAATGGTCCTCCTGCAGGAGCTCCCCAAGAGGCATTGCTACACTGCAGCCATCATTTTGCTCCTTTTCTGCAGCTAAGAACCCTCCAGAAGAGAAAGAAAAACATTTTCACAGCCTCACATTTCCTGACAGGAAACAGCAGACGCCATCAGGTGAAGATTAGCACCATGCATTACTCTTTCTGCAATGGAGCTCTAGCTATGACTTTTTTTTGCAATTGTTCCATCCTTTCCTGATTTTATGTGGTTAGCAAGCACTTCACAGGGGGGAGGGATTGCTCCAGAGTCTCCTTTCTCTGGGCCTTACTTCAAAAGTGAATTAAAAGTCTGCAGGAAACTGTAGTGGCATGAATATTTTTGGCACGGTTGCTCTTCCCTCTCCTGACTGTATTGCATAATTTCCAAGCTTAAGCAGAATGGTGTTACGTTGTTGATGAATTTAGAGCATATGATAGTGGGGGGAATGGGAATATCTGTCAGTCATGGCACTAATGCAGGAATCAGATACATCTAGTTCCAGTACATGCAGTACAATGCAGTGAGACATATGCAGATCTCTACACTGGGGAAACAAAACAACCACTTCATAAAAGCATGGCACAACATAGGAGAACAAGCCCATCAGGACAAGATTCAGCAGCCCACCTGCATTTAAAAGACAAAGGCCACTCTTTTGAAGACAGCAAAGTCCACCTTTTGGACAGAGAGGACTGCTGGTTTGAAAGAGGGGTCAAAGAGGCCATCTATGTCAAAATTGAAGAACCCAATCTCAGTAGAAGGGAAGGGATACGACATCCTCTAGCTCCAGTCTACAGCAGTCTTCAGCAATTCCAAGAAAGCTCCACAGCCATTTGCACCACTCAGGTGACCTTGAAGACACAGATAAATCTCCAGGTGGCCTCAACCACTCTCTTAAAAGAATGCAAATGTCCAGCTATCTGCAAGGAATATAAATCCTTCCATTCCCCACCATCCAGTCAGAGCTGAAGAAGCTTCTTGTATGAGAAGCGAAATGTCTTAAAAAAAACAAACAAGAAAGTCCACTTGCCTCTTAAAAAGCACCTTTGGGACAACCATGACTGAGAATCTCTATAGACACTCTGGCAACCTCTTGGCTCTGTTATATTGTCCCTGATTTAGGTCCCCCTACTTTACTGAGCAGCTCCCAACTGCCCTGAAACATCTGCCAGACAGCTGAGCGATAGGATGGAGTTGCTACCTAGTAGTGGAAGAGTTTCTCCTGCTTTTTGCAAACCCCCATCTCCATGTTAGATGTCTTGTAAGTTTGGAGGAGATACCACGTTTTGATAGATAGCTAAACGGAGGGCTCTAGCCATCCACAAAACATCTCCCAGTCACACAGTGATGTGTTGGGTGGATGGTTTGTGCCAATTAGAGAGGCCCAGATAGCTTTACCCAAACAGCATATCATGCCTATACTTCTAAAATCTGGACGCCACTTCCGATAACAAGCTTGGCAACATACGGCTTGGCAGTGGGCATAGCAGGTATATAGTCTTCTGCAGCTCAAGGGTAGTGGACAGCAACTTAACCGATCAGTGGGGAAAGATCTGCATACATCTTCTCTTTATAGACTCCATCTTGTCATCACATAAGTTGAAAGAAAAGTAAACATCATGAACAAAAATAAATTGTTGACAGCAATTCGTGGGGGAAAGCTCAAGAAAACCCTTTTATCAATAGAAGAAAATATTTATAGCTCAGGATTGAAATGAGAGGTCCTTGGTGCTCTCTGAGCTTGGTTGTTTTCTTGCAGATGTTTCATTACCAAACCGGGTAATATTATTGGCCAGCACTGATCATGTTACCTAGTTTGGTAATGAAACATTTGCAAGAATACCGCCAAGCTCAGAGAGCAGCACAGACCCCACAAACCCTTTTATTTAGGATTTCTCTTTTTATGTTGATCCCATATTATACAGGATTTCTTTTTCTATTTTGACAAAAACTGCCAACTTGTGGGTTCCTTCGTGTTAGTGTTTCGGAGGAATAAAAGCTATGATGCTTTTTCAAGTCCTGGCAAGATTATATGTCAAATACTTTTTATAATATTATACCTGATGTTGTATCCAGTCTTTAGGTAACCAAGGATGATAAAAGCAACATTCTGGGGGGCAAATAGGGGCCATGTCCACATTATTCTGAAACCCACAATAGATGCTTCTCTGATCCTTTCCACAATTGGCCCCTAGGCTGCCTCAGTGTTGGGGGTGGCAAAGCAGAACAGATTTTACCCACCTGGAAGCTATCACTACAGATAGTCCTCGGCTTACAACAGTTTGTTTAGTGACCGTTCAAAGTTACAACGGCGCTGGAAAAAAGCGATTTACGCCCATTTTTCACATTTATGACCGTTGCAGCATCCCCATGGTCATGCGATTAAAATTCAGGCACTTGGCAACTGGTTCATATTTATGACCATTGCCGTGTCCCAGGCTCACGGGATCCCTTTGGGAGACCTTTCTGACAAGAAAAGTCAGTGGGGGAGCCAGATTCACTTAATGACCATGTGACTAACTGAACAGCTGCGGGGATTCAATCAACAACTGTGTCAAGAAAGGTCATAAAATGAGGCAAAACTCACTTAACAACTGTGGTCGTAAGTCGAGGACTACCTATACATGGTGTTGGAACAAGGTGGGAGGCCTTACTTTAACACCAATTTGGACAGGGATGCTGAGCCGACCTTATTCTTGGGCTGAGGCAAGACGAAATCAGCCTCCAGAGTCAAGGAGCAAAGGCTCCGTGATCAAGAAAGGTTTGTGTTGTAATACGCAAGTGAGAAAAGTCCCCCCCCGTCTTCAGTTTCCGGTGGTTTAGGGGTGTCTCTTAATGATACAAAGAAATTGAGGACTGACTAGAATTAGAACCTTCCCCCCCCAAGCTTAATCTAATGTCCCCCCCATTTTCTTGAACCTCCTTTTAATGTACCTCACAGATGAAAGTCCCACCCTTCAGTTGGACTTCTCCTACTACTCCTATGAGTACGAGGCAGACCCCTACACTTCTGAAGGAGACGCTTTTGAACTGACAACGGCAAGTGGCACAGAGGCCCAAGATAACGGCAGATACCAGGGAGCTGCTGTGATCCCCCGGAAGTGAATGGTGAGAGGTTCAGTGTGGCCTTGGGGTACGAGGCTTGGTAATTCTCTCTGCTCCCTCTCCACCTCACCATGTTCTCTCTTCCCTGCTTTCCTGTTTCCTGTTTCTCCGTAGAAAGCTCGCTCCTTTCAGCCTTAACAGAACCAACTCCACAAGGGATCCAGGCCATTTTATTGTTCTGTGTCTTGCTGCCAAAGGAAGATGGAACTTTGTCTTGCCCTTCCCATGGCTCTCACAGCAGCCTCCTTGCCACTTTCCCACTTGTGTTGCACAAGCTATGTAGGGCAAGCTGGAATCCAGGCCCTCTTTCAGAGTTGCTCGTCCATCGTACAAGTTGCCTTCTAGTTGTGAGTGGAGAAAGGATGGCACCGTTGATTTCCATGACCCAGGCAACTCCATCGCAACCAAAGCACAAGAGCTCCAGGTCATTTGTTTTGTGCCTCATATTACTGCACCCCTTTGTCTCTCTCTCTGTCTCTCTCTCTCTCACACACACACACACACACTTAGCCCGGAGGGTGGAAGAAGGGCTTGGACAGAACAAGTTTCGTCTGTTCAAGGGTTGGTGCTGGTGGGGTAGAAGTTGACTTCCCAGTCTCACCTTATCTTCCCCCTCCAGATTATCCTTCCTCCATTGTTGTGCAAAGATAAGCATGTGTGTGTCCACCTCATATTTTCCAGAGCACTGGAGCTGGTCCACTTCTACCTTCTTCCCCCTCTAAGCTTCTAAACCATGGACGGTAAACACGTAGCATTCTAGATATTGCTAATTACAAACCCTGGACTCCCAGCCAACTTGGCTACAACTGACAAACTCTTAGGATTTGTAGTTTGCAAACATCTGGGGCTACAGCTTCCCCTCCTGTTTTACGTCATCCGTGAGTGGTGGCAAAATAAGCTATTTATAAATTTTGATGGGAAGTCAGAGAATATTTCCTAAGGGGATTGAAGTTTGAGAACTACTACTACCCAGCCTTGGTTCTTCTGCAATGCAGATATGCCAGCCTTGATGAACCGTATGCAAAAAAATATATGCTGTACCCAATATTTATTGTAAAACAAAACATTTTTATTTACCCCAAATTATCATCCAAGGGAACCAGGTTGACATGGTGACCCCAATCTTGACATATTTTTATCTCTGCTCATTGGGCTCATCTGATCTTGCCCACTATACGTCTAGGCCAGGGGTAGGCAACCTTGGCTCTTTTATGACTCGGGGACTTCAACTCCCAGAATTCCTGAGCCAGCCATGCTGGCTCAGGAATTCTGGGAGTTGAAGTCCAGGAGTCATAAAAGAGCCAAGGTTGCCTACCCCTGGTCTAGGCAGAGACCTGCTTGTTCATTCCAGGTGCTCAGTAGACCAGCCTGCTCCCCACTTGCTTAGGCACTGCAGGGGTACAGTTTGCTTTTATGGTTCAGCACAATCCTTTAGTGAATTGGAGCATTCGGGGGTTGGGTGGGATGGGAGAAGAAGTTTGATTTAGATATTGATAAAATATTTTATTAAAAATTGATTTTTAAAACAGTTGTGGCTCCTTTTGGTTTCTTCCTGAGGTGATAATTTGCGAGTAGGGGTCTGAGGCAGATCCAGAAACAGAAAGGATGAGATTAATGAAGACTCAATCAGCAACAAACTTATTTTTGGAAGTTTTCTTGGTATCCATTTATTAGAGACGTCCTCAGACTTTCCCACAGCCATACAGTTAAGCCACAAAATAAGGGGAAGAACTATCTGCTACGCAAGACTTTATAATTAATGAGTAATATAATTAGGCTTCTTGGAAGTTGGAATGGAGCTGAGATTGGGCAGGTTTTATCCAGCTATATTGTTTTAAGAACTCCAAGAAACTGACCGTTAGCTGCTTCCTAAAAAAAAAAAATCTTGGTAAGACCATGAAAAACTCCAGCCAGCCCCTTTTCTGTTTTCCTTTCCTTCCCAGTACAGCGAAGAGAGTCTCTCCTTCACCCCAGAGACTGGGAGGGATGGAAGTTTTTTGAGGGCAGCGTTTCTTTTAAGGTCTTCCCAGACACTGCAGAATCCTTCCGGTGGCCAAAGAGTCTCCTCCTCACATTTGACCTGAATTCTTCCGAGACATAATAGTAAATGAAGGGGTCGACGCAGCTATTGCAGGTGCTCAAGGCTAGGCTGGCCATGTAGGCCACGTAGACCGTCCCATCACTCTCGCAGGAGTCAGAGTAGTGGAGGAGCAACAGGATATGGCTTGGGCTATAAAAGGTCACGACTGAGATAAGCATGATGGCTGTCAACTTGGCAGCCAAAGCATACTTTTCACCGCTGCCCAACAAGACCCGGAGTGTAACCCCACAGCTGAACACCATGATGAGGAGAGGAGTCAGGAAGCCACAGGCAACGAGGATAATGAAGTAATAGTAGTAATATTCAACTTCCTCCTTCCATGGCAGGGCATCGTGACATAGAGTCTGCTTGGTCCTATAGAGAGGGAAGGACTGGCGGAAGAGAGTCAGAGGCAGGGTGAAGAGGACAGCCACCACCCAAACTACAGCACAGGTGCCGATGGCGAAGGCAGAGCTGCGGAAGGAGCGGGCGAAGAACGGGTGGGCTACAGCAAGGTAGCGGTCCATGCTGATGCAGGCAAGCAAAATAATGGAGCAGTACATGTTGCCGTAGAAGGCTGTAGTGGTAAAGCGGCACATAGCCTCTCCAAAGGGCCAGTGGTTGCCCAGGAAGTAGTAAGAGATCTTCAGAGGAAGCAGCAGGCATAATAAGAGATCAGCAGTTGCTAAATTTATCAGGAATATAGTGGAGGGCAGTTTCTCCACCCGTGTGGCGAGCACCCAGAGGGCCAGAGCATTGGCAGGGAGTCCAATGAGGAAGATAAGGGTGTAAAAAGATGGGAGGACGACGACGGTGAGCGTGCCAGCAAGCAAACCACGCGAATCTTTCGAGATACGCAGGAAAGTACTGTTGTTTTCAGTGACCATCTGCGCTGGGATGGTGCGAGGGCACAGGCCCCTGTATTGCACGGGTTGATTCTCATCGGTTCCATTGGAGCTATAGTCTAACGATAGAAGGAATCTAGTCAGTGATTCTAATTATAAGTCCCCAGTCCACCTCCAGCTTTCATCTAGTTTTAAAAAGCAAGCACCTCCCTTCTTCCCCCCTCTATTTTGGGGCTGTGTGAACCTGTTTCAGTTTTTGATTCCTGAGACTGCCTAGACTGCAGTTTTCTTGGCAAGAGCTTCAGAATTGGTTTGCCCGTGCCTGCTTCCTAGGGCTCAGACAGCAGATCACTGAGTTAATTTCCTGGTTTCTAGTCTCGTGCCTTAACCACTACACCAAACTGTCTGTCTCCTCTCCTTTGAATCACAGAATTGATTGGAAGGATCTTGCAATTAAAGCATTCCTGAGAGCATTCTAGATTCTGCTTAAAACTACTCTATGAAGTATGAGGTGTTCAGATTGCTACTGTCCACTTGTTTATACTACTAGGATGTTTCTCGTACTATTCAGCTGACATTTGCTTCTTTGGCAGCCTTTCAAATGTTCGAAGATTGTTATCGTATTGCTTTAATTTGTTTTTCAGACCTAAAAATATGCAGCTTTTTAAACACTTTTTTCCTGAGGATTCTTTTCCATCCTGACTAACGTGCCAGTCACATTCTAGATAGTCTTTAAAATGTGGCATTATTCCAAGTGCCTTTGTTAAACAATCCTATCACATTGCTGGCTCATACTAATAAATTTTTAATAAATTTAAGAAATCTTAATTCTTTTCACATCACCTTTCCAAAACTAGGAATAGTTTCTCCATCTTATCTCTATTCTTTTTGATTCCAAAGACTTCCTATTTATTTATGTCTGTTTCTATCCTGCTAATTTTGACTGCAGATTATCACCCTTTGTTTTTCTACAGCATTTGGCTCCCCATCCTAGCTTCATGAAATTTGCAGAAGTAATTTATAATAATGTTGAACTCCATAGAGCTAACAGTGTCTTGATGCTCTCTATGCAAGTTCTTCCCCATTGGACCCATGAAAGCAACAGGAAATGGCTGCTCAAGCAGCTGTGTATATTTTATTAACCAACTGTGTTTTGTATATCAGAGCTAGAGAAGAAGCTTGCAAATAATGAGGCAAGAATTTTCCTCTCCTAAACCTTTCTTTGAATTGTGGTGGCTCTTGACTGCAATAATTGTGACAATTTCTTTTCTTTCTAAGGGACACGCTTTTTACTTTTTCTCCATCTCCAAGAGATGTGGAAGGAATAGCCAATGATGTGATGACATCAACACAGCAAGCAGGATACCAGTTTGCTTTCACATTTTAGAGAGTTACAGTGCCTTAGCATACATTTTCAGGATGATATTTGAAAAAAAATAGTGTCACAATCCTGGAGGGCTTTGATGGCTGCAAATTTGGAACTGTCTGCCCCACTGTCAAAGAGGCAGGAAATCTCTGCCCCATTCAGTGTTCCTGAGCTGCAAGTAGCTACACTGTTGCAAGATCTACAAGACCTTAGCTCTCCACTTAGGCCAGGGGTAGGCAACCTTGGCTCTTTTATGACTCGTGGACTTCAGCTCCCAGAATTCCTGAGCCAGCCACGCTGAGGGGAAAGGGAGAGTTTCCAAGCTGAGCCATGCTGGCTCAGGAATTCTGGGAGTTGAAGTCCACGAGTCATAAAAGAGCCAAGGTTGCCTATCCCTGACTTAGGCTTTTAATCAAGGGTTTCCAAGCTTTCAGGCCACACAATATGTTAAGTTTTTTTTTTTAAAACATCCTTGGAAGCCCTCATGAGGAAGTAAAGCTCTAAGTGATAGATATGCTTTTTAAAGCGTTTTATGGAATCCTATAGAGATCTCACAGAACTCAAAGGATTCTGGACTTCGAAAAGTCCTCCTATAAACAATGCAATTTCTTAAGAAGGAAAAAAAAAGCCTGGCCATCTATTTTTCACTTGAGGCATCTTAAAGAGAGCTATGGACAGCATCTTTAACCAAACTCCGGAGGGGACCTTAATGGAAATGCTAAAACCCTGAAACAGAGTCAAATCCCCACAACCGCCCCCCCCCTACAACCTCTTGGTTCCTCAGGCCAGTTGGTCCTGCTCCTAGGGTTCTGTCTTGCTCTCCAGGCTCTTGCAAGCTAAATGGGGTTAGGGAGGTTTGACTTCTTACCATCGTAATCAGTAAATCCCGAAGCCGACACCTTCCAGCAGCACACAAGCAGTAGTGGCAAGAAGTATCGCCTCGCTCCAGTGTTGCCCAGTGACATCCTGTGCACTGTCAGCAAGAGTGGTTCACTGTGCTGTGAGGACTCTGGCAACATCCCATTTCCTGCCTTGACAGGCTCTTAGCCTCAGAAAACATCATATTCCTCCCACCCGCCTCTTCTGGGAGTGGCTTGGACGGAGGGGGGGGGGGGAGCTGTTTTTACAGCAAGATATGTCAGAAAGGAAGTACATGTCTCAGTGACATAATCCTGTCCCTGAGAGAGGGGGGGGGGAAGTCCCGAACCAGGATTGGTCTGGTATGTCTCAAGGGGCTGCCCCATAACACAGATGACCCACTGCATCTAACTCATTTAGCCATAAAAGCAAAAAGTGACCATCAGGCCTGGTTGGCAGTCCAGAGAAGCTGTTTGATTTCTCCAGAGATTCTGCTGTTATCCGCAGATACCTTCACTCTATCTCAGTGGTGGCGAACCTATGGCACGGGTGCCAGAGGCGGCACTCAGAGCCCTCTCTGTGGGCACGCGCGCCGTCGCCCCAGTCCTAGACCTTCAGCTGGGTTTTATAAAACCTTTTCACTTTAGGCCTCCACCGCCGTGTACAAAAAAAAAAAAAAAGGTTCAATCAATCAGTCAATTTCAACTTCTCACGGAAAAAAAAAAGATCTTGCAAAGTTGGAATTGATTGATTGAACTTTTTAGTCCTACCCAGTCTGCCATTACCACCGTAGTCACGCCCACCCAATGGGCCACACCCACCTGGCATCCGACGATGCAAAAGTGGGTTTTGGGTTGCAGTTTGGGCACTTGGTCTCTAAAAGGTTCGCCATCACTGCTCTATCTCCTTTCTCATCAAGGCTGAATATGCTTCAGGCTTGTCGGACCTCAAAATAAATATAGAGGACCAGATATGACTTGAGTTTTCCAAACCAAAAACTGAACCTTTGTTGAAAAGTGAGTGGACTTCTTAACCTTTGAAATTAGGCTTCCCACCAACCTGACCTTTTGCCTCCACAGCCTCCCCACTGTTTAGTCAAGGTCACTTAAGATGTCTTTGACGTATACAAACATTCTGGTGGCCTCTGCAATATCCTCTGCTCCTCCTGATAAGGGTCAGGAAATAACGTCATGGTGGGGCGAAGGAGGAGGGCAACACAGGATATTCCTGTTCAGATAGGGCCTGTTTCAGCTCCATCCATCTGCAAATGGCACAGCTACACAAACATGGCTAAGGGGGAGGAGAAGCACGATGTGAGCATGGAACTTCCTGCTTGTGGGATTAGAGCATAGAATAACAAAGCTGGAAGGGACCTTGGAGGTCTTCTAGTCCAACTCCCCACTCAAGCAGGAGACCCCATAGCATTCCAGACAAATGGCTGTCCAGTGTCTTCTTGAAAACCTCCAGTGTTGGAGCCCCCACAACGTCTGGACGCAAGCTGTTTCATTAATTGTTCTGTCAGGAAATTTCTCATTAGTTCTAAGTTGGATCTCTCTTTAATGATCTTCCACCCATTACTTCTTGTCCTGCCCTGAGGACCTCACAAACAGGGAGTCAAATTATTCTCTCCAAAGCATCTGCCCTCAGATGCTTTGGAGAATAAGTTCACTCCCTCTTTGTAACAGTCCCTAAAATACTGGAAGACTTCTAATATATCATCCCTAGTTCTTCTCTGCATTAACAGAGGGATAGAATCAAGATCATGTGAAGTATTAATACCACTC